TTTCGCCTCGGTCGTTCGTGTTTGCGCGCTCGGTCGGGCTTCGGTCGGTTGATTAGGTCATGCGCGCGGCCCTTCGCTTTCGATCGGTCTGAGTTTCGTTATCGGGTCGGTCGGTTTTCGGTATCCGCTTCACTCGTGCACTGCCGAGCCATTTGAATTATTGCCGGCATCCAACTGAGGAGTTGGAAGAAAAGGATGATGTTGACGATGATGATGAGGATGATGATGATGATGAGGATGATGATGATGAGGATGATGGTGATGATGATGTTGATGATGATGATGATGATGATGATGATGATGATGATGATGATGATGATGATGATGATGATGATGATTACTGCGCCGATCCGAAAGTTTCCCCAATTTCGCCACCGTGCTCACTGGGGCCATCTGGGATGGCGCGCGCAGGATGAGACTCGCGGGGTCGGGGCGATATCGCGAGGGCAGGGTCGGCCCGCCGATGGGCAGCCCGGCACCCCCTTTGGCCGGAGGGGCCCAGTACAATGCAAGGGCAGAGCGCAACCCCTGCCCGGGGTCACGGGATCGGGTTCCCCTTCGGAATTTCAAATTTTAAATCCCAAACGATGTACGGACCCGAAAATGAGCAAACGGCATCGGACTTCTTCGAAAAAAACTTTCGGGTTCGGTCATGCGACGACCCGAAAATTTTATCGACCTATCTGAAAGTGGCCAAATCACTAGGACTTGTGCCCAAAATAATTTCGGGTCCAGTTCGAACGACCCGAAAATGTGCGAACGGCCTGTTTTTTTTTCCTCGAAAAAACATCGATCTCGACGTCTTCGGGTCCACTCCGAAGAAACCGAACAAGGGCAAACCGCCTAGAACATCCGATGGCAAACGGTTTCTCGGTGGTTCCGGGTCTCGTCCGAAGGAGACGCCGATGGGCCGACCGTGCAGGACTTCCTGCACAAAAAACGGCTTCCCGGGTGAGCCACTGTCAAACGGAAGCGCGCCCCGCGCGGGATCGGGGTTCGCACGGGGGCGCGGCTGATCGCGCTTGTCCAGGAGGCGCGCGTTCCCGCGCCCTTCCAGCACAGCGTTTGCTCTGCATTCGCGCAGCGCCGTTTTTCTCACATCGGAATAAACTTTCGGAGCGCCGATGTATGCTTATGATGCTGCTGCTGCTGCTGATGATGATGATGATGATGATGATGATGATGATGATGGTGGTGATGATGATGATGATGATGATGATGGGGAGGAGGAGGAGGAGGAGGAGGAGGAGGAGGAGAGGAGGGGCAGGGGGATAATGGCATTGAGGAGGAGGAGAAGGAAAAAGAGGAGGAAGGGGATGACGATGATGATATGATGATGATGATGATGATGATGATGATGATGATGATGATGGATGATGATGATGATGATGATGATGATGATGATGATGATGATGATGATGATGATGATGATGATGATGATGATGATGAGATGATGATGATGATGATGATGATGATGATGATGATGATGATGATGATGATGATGATGATGATGATGATGATGATGATGATGATGCGGAGGAGGAGGAGGAGGAGGAGGTGGAGGAGGAGCAGGAGGAGGAGAAGGACGAGCAGGATGAGGAGGATAATAGGGGAGGAGGAGAAAGTGGAGGAGGAGGAGAAGGAGGAGGAGGAGGAGGAGGAGAGGAGTGGGGAAGAGGAGGAGGAGGACGAGGAGGAGGAGGAGGGACAGAGGAGGGTGTCGGATGCGGTGGAGGCGGGGGGAGGCGAGTGGGCAGCTGCGCCCCCCCCAGTTTGGCGCTGTTGACCATTGCCCCATTGTTATACCTGGGCTTAGCACGATGTTTCGGTGAAGGGCGCACTTGAAGAGGACGGGTGATCGGGTCATCGGGACCGCCCGGATTATCGGGTCCGCCCGCTCGGGTTAACGGGCCCGCTCAGGCTATCGGCCATAGGGTCCAGCGATAACCCAGGTTATCGGGCCCGCCCCGCAACCCTCCTCCACCCCTGGATAACCTGACTTCGCCGGCTGCTCAATCTCGGAGGGGGTGCGCAGTATTGGTGCGCGCGGGCAGACGTTGAGCTGCCCAAATCGAGAAGGGTCGATTATCGGCCAGCACTTGCCCCCTGGTCCCCCCGCCGGATAAACTTGGACTATCGCAGCAAAGCGCGCAGACCTGTTTCATGAAGAGCCGCAGCTGCAGGGGTCGTTTTCGGGACCGCCGTTTGTCGTCGTGACAGCGGCTTGATGCAACACGCTGCGGTGTCGGATTCTTGGTGCTCGTTCTCTTGCGGACTCTGTTGCGCCTTTGCGCCGCTAAAGCAGCTGGCGCCAGAAACACCCAGGGGAGAGGAGAACGCGTGACAGTGGACGAGGTGGGGGTAGCGGAAGGATAATTGGTTCCCGCCCCACGCTTTGCCTGGCACTGGCGCAAGAGAGTTTGAATGTGATGCAGTTTGGGAACGGGAGGGAGAGGGGACAACTGCTTGCCCTGCGTTCGCCCTCTTCCCTTGCCCTTGAGTGTATGTGCGCATCTGGATACTTTGAGTTCCGATCAGTTGTTGCATTGCCGTCTGCTGCTTTTGAATGCTTTCGCCGCTGTTAAGCTCAAGGGTGGCAGCGGCCTGAGCGGTACAGCTGCTATCCCGCCGCCGCATCATTGAAGTTGTACTGAAGCTCTACGCGCCGCGCCGAACCATATTGGCATAGCGAGCGCGCTCAAGGCGTCACCTCCGACTCCAGAAGAGTTAGTTTCCGACGATTGAACCGAGCAGCAGTCCACGTTGGCCATTCGGCCGCTGGCTTAGTGGCCGTCCGCCCAGACGTGCTGATGGACGCAGAAGCCGCTTTGCACCGATGGGGTCGACTTCATTTCTCTGCTGTGCCTCGGGGGTGGACAGAACCCCCACCCTGACACGTCGATTAGCGAGTTGTCCGTTTTCAGTTCTTGAGAGGGCGCTGTGGCCCGCATGTTCCATGCCTGCGCCCCCCAGGTTTGGGCCCGAGGTCGTTTTCACCCAACCACGTTTCGCGAAAGGGGGTTCCTACCTGTCCATCCCCGAGTGCCACAGTCGTTGCCTCCTGCTCCTCATCCTCCCTGCAAGGATTCTCCACGCGGCCTTGGTGTTTTCGTGCCGCTCTGCGTGCCGAGCAGTCCTGCAGTGGCACGTGCGTGGGCCCACCCGCGCCTTTGTATCCTTCCCTGCTCCCTCCTCCCTCCTCCTCCTCCTCCTCCTCCTCCTCCTCCTCCTCCTCTTCCTCCTCCTCCTCCTCCTCCTCCTCCTCTCCTCCTCCTCTCCTCCTCCTCCTCCTCCTCCCTCCTCCTCCTCCTCCACCTCCTCCTCCTCCTCCCCTCCCTCCTTCTCCTTCTCCTCCTCCTCCTCCTCATCCTCCTCCTCCTTCTCCACCTCCACCTCCTCCTCCTCCTCCTCCTCCTCCTCCTCCCTACCCTCCAGAGGGAGACCGTCCCCCCAGAAAAGTCAGCGCCGACGCGTGCCTTGTGGGGACGGTCCTTGGGCGGGCCCCTCCCCTGGTCCCCGCGTTCCCTCCTTCGTCTTTGTCCTTCTCCTCGTACTCCTCCTCGTCCTCCTCTCTCTTTCTCTCTTCCTCGTCCTCCTCCTCCTCCTCCTCGTCATCCTTCGTCTTCGTCCTTCTCCTTCTCCTCGCTCTCCCTGCTCCTCTTTCTCCGTTCCCCCCTCCTCACTCGCTTGTGTCCCGCACGATTTCGGAGAGCTGCCAGCTGCAGGTTTCGGGCGAATGCCTACTATGCCTTACGCTGCCGTCGCAGATAGACCCGGCCCTGGTCGCTGACTCTGGTTGCCTCTTCGTCGTCGTCGTCCTCCTCCTCCTCCTCCTACATCTCCTGATTTATCGACGCTCCGTCTCCTCCTCGTCTCCTGGTTCCCATGCTCCTCGTCGATCTCTTGCTCCTGATCTCGCTCACGTTCACACTCCCGCTCCTCCTTCTCCTCCTGCAGGACAAGGAAGGCGGACGATGTGGGGAACGAGGTGGAACAGCAAGATGGGGAGGGGGAGGAAGGGTAGGTGGAGAACCTGTCGTGGATTGGCCAGGCCCTGATCGTTGACCCTGATCTTTGACGCTGGCTTTTCCGCCGCGTGCGCCTCGACACTCAGTCGTATTTCAGTCTGTCCCGATCGCTTGTGCGGCCGAGTCTAGGTCCTCTTCCTCCTCCTCCTCCTCCTCCTCCTCCTCCTCCTCCTCCTCCTCCTCCTCCTCCTCCGCTTCCCCTGCTGCCCCTCCTCCTGGTTATCCGCCTCCTCCTTCCCCTATCTGTCCTTTTTTATATTAGCCTTTTCGCTCTCAGGTGGTGAGTTTTGCAGGCGCGTGTCTTCAGAGCGGCCCGCGTCTGCGGGTCAGAGCGCCTCGGCGGAAGTCCGCTTCCCTCAGCACTGTCACAGCCGTGCACGTGCAGGATCGAAGCACCAGTGGCGCAGCGGTGCCTGGTCAGCAGGCCCCGCCGCGGGTTCCTGGTGGTGGCAGGGGACGTGGCGGCTCACCGTCTGCTCCTGCTGGTCCTGGCCCCTAGTGGCAGGTCGACTCGTCTGACTCCTGGACGGCTGGGCGAGGAGGCTCAGGACGGTGGACCTGCACAAAGTGTCCGTGCCACAAAGGATCCGCCACGCGCCATCTGTTGCAAGCGCTGTTCTTCTTCTTGCCATCTTCCCTGCCTCCTCCTGCCCCGTCGTGCTCTCTCCCTCCCCGTGGTTCTCCATCCCCGCCCCCCCTTCCTCCCCCTCGTCGCTGTCCTCCCCCTCCGTCCTCCGTCCCCCCTCCTCCGTCCACGCCCCGTTCCCCGCCCCATTCCTGGTCGTCTTCTTGTCCCTGCGAGCCACTCAGGAGCTGCGCGGGTGGGCCGAGGGAGGCGGAGAAGGAGGAGGAGGAGGAGGAGGAGGAGGAGGAGGAGGAGGAGGACCAGTCGTCGTCGTCGTCGGCGTCGTCGTCGTCGTCGTCGTCGTCTTCCTCCTCGTGGGGCGGGGCCGGCTCAGGTCTTCGGCGGGCATGCGCCAGCGCGGATGTGCTTCGGTCCTGGGTGCCCTCGTGCTCGGGTCGCCGCGCCTGACCCTGCCGGGGGCGTGCGTCGAGCTCGGAGGCGGCCTCCTCGACGTTCCCTTCCTCCTCCTCCTCCTCCTCCTCCCTCCTCCTCCTCTCCTCCTCCTCCTCCTCTCTCCCCTCCTCTCCCTCCTCTCCTTGTCCTCCTCCTCCTCCTCCTCCTCCTCCTCCTCTCCCTCCTCCTCCTTGTCCTCCTCCTCCTCCTCCTCCTCCTCCTCCTCCTCCTCCCTCTCTTTCTCGTCGGCCTGCATCTGGATATTCTTTTCCTGGTCCTCCCATCTCCTCCCTATCCCCACCCCATCACTCCTCATCATTCCTCCCCCCGTCTCCTCCTCTTCCTTCCTCCCCTCCCAATGCTGCTTCCCCTCCTGTCTCTACGCTCCCCTCCGGGAACGAGGGCCCCCCCCCTGGCGCTGGCGAACGACGACGCGACGACGACGACAGCGATGAAGACGGCGACGATAACGACTACGAAGGACGGCGGTCGATGGCGATAACCAGCGACCAAATATGGACGACCGACGCCCGACGACCGACGGCGACGACGACGGCGAAGACGACGACGACGACGACGACGACGACGGCGGTGGCGGCGGCGGCGGCGGCTGCGGCGTCGGTGATGTCGACGACGACCGCAACACATAGCAAAAAGAGGCCGTCGAGGAAGAAAACGTTAACGACGACGGCTCTTCCGGCTACTGCGATGGCTGACGACCGCCGACGATAATCACGAACAACGACGACGTTGACCGCTACGACCGACGACGACTCGCGACGGCGACGCGACGACGACGGCGACGGTGGACGACAGATGACGACCAGCTACCGACGACGTCCGACTCCCGACAACTGACGTCGTCGAGGACGAAAGACGACGAGGACGACCGACGACTCACGACGACGATGAAGACGATGGCACACCGCAAACCACAACGACCATCCACAGACGATAACGACTGCTCTTACGACGACTGTAGTACCCGACGGCGACCGACGACGGCAAACGACGACGACCGCGAACGCCACGACCGTCGACGAAGACGACGGACGACGACGACGATGCGACGACGACGATGATGGGCGTCGGACGACGAATGACGGCCGACGCCCAACGCCCGACGACCGACGACAACGAACGGCGACGACGACAGCGATCGTCGACCAGAAGGGCCACGACGGTGGCGACCACGACCACGACGGCGGGAGGGGACTGGACTGTCGAGGAGGGCGAGAACTTGGACGTGGGCGATGAGGCGGAACAGCAGGACGAAGGTTTGAAGGAGGAGGGTGTAATACCAGGTCGGGCCGATACTTGTACATAGATGTATCCGGTGCACACGTGCATTCATACGCATACACGTACCGATACCAAGTGTCCATGCCCATGTAAGTATACTAGAAACGGTATACACACCTCTATGTCTATGTATGTCTATGTTTGCATGTATACACGTAGAGGAGAGGGATCCTGTAGAAGAAGACAGCGACACATATATCGATACATATCTATACGTATATATATATAACTATTCAGTTGTGCATGTGTACATACATGCATGCAAACATGTGTATATACAGAGAGGGGGGAGAAAGAGAGAGAGAGAGAGAGAGGGAGAGGGAGAGGCAGAGAGCGAGATGGAGGGCGCGGAACAGAGAGCGAGAGCGCGAGAGAGAGAGAGAGAGCAACCACACTCAGCTTGTGGCACAACTGTCCCCGCCCACCTTCGCTGATATTCATCGTCGTTGTCCTTGTCATCATGTTCCAATATTTGCTCCTCACTAATCCTGGATTTCCTCCTTCTCTCCCTCCTCCTCCTCCTCCTCCTCCTCATCATCCTCCTCCTCCCTCTGTGCCCGTAACCTCCCTCCACCTCATCCTTTCGCTCCTCATCACTACTGCCTCTCACTCCTCCCCCTCTCCTCCTCCTCCGTCTCCTGCTCCTCCTCCTCCCTCCCCCGCGGCGGCCTCTTCCTCGGCAGGGAACGCCGCGCTCTTGTCCGCCAGTCACCGCTTAGCGTGCTGCCATCGCGCGGGATCGCACCGACCTCGACTGCAGTGGCGCAAAGTCAGGGGTGCAGAAGGCACCAGTGGGAGGCGGAAGAGGGGGAGGAGCAGAAGGAGGAAACGGATGATAGGGGTGGATCGGGAGTGCAGACGGGGAGGTGGGAACAAAGGATGGTGAGGTGGAGGAGGTGGAGAAGGCGTGGGAGGGGAAGGGGGATGAACTGACGAGGAGGAGGGAGGAGGCGGATGGAGGAGGACGAGCAGGATCCATGAGTTAAAGCATGGCGTCCACCTCCTTTCTCCTTGGCAGCCCTTGCTCTCCCTTCCCTCCGTTTTCTTGTCTCCTCGCCATTATTCCACTTCTGCTTCTGCCCTTCTCCCTCCCGCCCGCCTCGGCGTTCAGAGCTTTCTCACGTCAAAGCTGTTTCTGTCACTGGGCCGTCTTGAGGCCCTGAGGGGGGGTATCGAGAGGCTCTTTGGAGCATTTTGGGGGCCTCTTGGGGGTCTCTTGGAGGCTGTATTGGCCATCGTGGGGGCCTCTTGAAGGCCTCCGGGGCGTCTTGGGGGCCTCTTGGACAGTCTGGCGGCCCTCTTTGGCCGCTTGGAAGCTTCCTGGGCCTTTTTGAGGCCCTCTCGGATGTTTTCTTGGGGCCCTCTTGAGTTGTCTGGGGGCCATCTTGGGCCGGGTTCGGGCGCTCTTTGGAGGCCCCTTGGGCCGTCTTGGAGCGATCTCGGCATCTCCTGGGCGCGTCTTGGGTTGTCGGAAGCCTGAAACGGCGAGAACGCCGAAATCATTCAAACCTCCCTAGGCAAATCGATAAACTTTGCATCTCGCGGCCCTTTTGGGGACTCCCAGGGCCCTCTTGGGATCATGTTAGGTCGTGTTGTGGCCATCTTGGAGCCATTTAGGGGCCGTCCATGGGCGCTGTTGTCCATCTTGGGGGTCGTTGCAAGGCTTCTGGGGCCGTCCGCGGAGTCAGGAGGAGCGCGGGCGGCTAGCCAGGGAGGCCCAGGAGCCGTCCAGGGCGGGGGCGGCGTCGGAAAAGTGTCCTGGGAGTTTGATGTGTGTGTGTGTGCGTGTGTGTGTGTGTGTGTGTGTGTCTGTGTGCGTGCATGCGTGCGTGCGTGCGTGCGTGCGTGCGTGCGTGTGTGTGTGTGTGTGTGTGTGTGTGTCTGAACGTGTGTGTGTGTATGTATGTGTGTATGTATGTGTGTGTGTGTGTCTGTGCCTGTGTCTGTGTCTGTGTCTGTGTCTGTGTCTGCGTCTGTGTCTGTGTCTGTGTCTGTGTCTGTGTCTGTGCGTGCATGTGCGTGCATGTGTGCGTTCGTGCGTGTGTGCGTGCGTGCGCGTGTATGTGTGTGTGTGTGTGTGTGTGTGTGCGTGTGTGTGTGTGTGTGTGTGTGTGCGTGTGTGTGTGCGTGTATTCTCCGCCTCATTTGTCGCCGCGCTCGAGGCCGCTAACGTAAAAAAGTGAGTGTATGTGTTTGTGTGTGTGTGCGTGTGTGTGTTCCGCCCCGTCGCCGCGCACGAGGCCGCTGCCGCCAAACAGTATGTATATGTGTGTGCGTGTGTTTGTGTGTGGGTGTGGTCATTTTGCGTTTGTGTATGTGTGTGTGTGTGCGCGCGTGCGTGCGCCATCCCGGGGGGGGGTCCATGCACGGGGCCTACTGCAACAGGATCTGCAGCTTGCCTCCCCCCTCTCCTCCCTCCCTCCTGTCTCTCACCCCCCCTCTCCGCCTCCCCATCTCCTTCCCCTCTGTCCGATCCCCTTCCCTTGGGCACTCCTCCCCCCGCCCGGCTCGGTCGCGAGGGCCCGGCCCCGCCGCGGCGCCCCGGGCCACCTCGCCGAGGCGAGATGAGCGTCCGGGCTCGCCTGGCGGCGGGTGGCGGGCGGCTGCACCGCCGCCGGATTACGGGCAGGAGCCCACGTGGGGCGCAGCCTCCTGCACCGCCTGCCTCTCCCTTTCTCGTGGTCATGGCCTCGTTCTCTGCCCTTTCCTCCCCCTCCTCCTCCCCCGCTCTCCCCTCGCTCCTCCGCCCGCGCCCTCCTCCGCCACCCTCCCTCTCTCGTCCTCCAGCTCCTCCTCCTCCGCCTCGCTCCCTCCCTGCTCCCTCCTTGCTCCCTCCTTGCGCACTCCTCGCTCCTGCCTTCTCCTGCCTTGGCATCCTTGTCCTCCTGATCCTCTTTCCTTGTCGTCGTCACCCTCGTGCTTCCTCCGCCCCTCCTCGTTCGCCTCTTCCTGCTTCTCCTCGCTGTTCCTCGTCGCAGCGTGTCGCCAGTGCCGACGACGCGGCACGCCGTCCAAAAATTCTTGCCCGTGAGGTGGATGGGATTCGGCTGTCTGGTGGGCGAGGGGGGGGCCCCTTCGGAGAGAGCCTTTTCACCCTCTCGGCCATGACGCGCATTATGCCCTCCACCTCTTCCCCCCAATCAACGTAGCGCTCCCCCGCCAGTGCGCTCCCCCGGCACTGCCGGAGTGCGTCCGGCACCACAGGCCGTCACGGTGGGTGGCGGGGGCGCCACGTTATGCCTCCCCTTCCCCGCGACCCCCCCTCCCCCCACAACAAAGCTCCTTATCGCCGTGAGCCCAAGAATGTCGGGCGGGGCTAGGATGAGGATAAATCCGTTTGAGAGCGTTCTGGTCCTCTCTGAGAAGGCCGCGGCGCTCGAGACATCCTCCAGAACCGCCCGGTCTCAGAGATTTCCGATTATTCTTCGCCCGAATTTGTCCTCGTCCTGACTTCGTCTTAGAATGCTCTCTTGCTCGCCTGCAGGAGGCGTGGTGGCATCCCCGGAGGCGCGCCCGCGGGGGAGGAGGAGGAGGAGGAGGAGGAGGAGGAGGAGGAGGAGGAGGAGGAGGAGGAGGAGGCGGAAGAGGGAGGGAGGGAGGGAGGGAGCAGGAGGAGAAGGAAGTGTATGGAGAAGGAGGCGGGTTAGAGGATGACGGCAGGGCAGGGGACAAGAGGGAGGAGGGAGGCGAACCCGGGTTTTGGCTGTCCACCCCAAGGCGTCGTTGCCAGCCCGGACGTGCAGGTAGACGCGGAGGAGGACGATTGCCTGCGCATGGGGTCAGAAGCGCCTCGGGTTAGTGGCAGTGGCCAGGCGAGGAAGCGGCTCCGATACCGCTGTCCTGCCCTCGTCGCCACGACTGGGCTCGCCTCGAAATCAGCACGCGCTTCTGGAGAGGTTGTGGCGGAACAGCGGCATCGGCACGTGTTGATCTCCCCGAGCTCATGGGGGGCTTCAGTAGTAGTCGTGGGAGACTTGCGTGCTCTCGCCATTCTGTCTTCAGAATACATCAGCGTGCGCCAGCGTCTGGTAATCGATGATCACGCGCCGATTTAGCGTCGGTTGTTATCGATTTACCGTCGATTAGCGTCGATCAGCGTAGATTGGCGTCGATTCGCGTTTGGCAGCGTCGATTCGCAAAAGCCAGCATGGCATGGGAGGCTCCCATGAGTTGCCCCCGAAGGTCCGTGGACCAGTGGCATCAGCATTGTTTGCCCCCCAACTGCGTGGGGGCTGCCAGCCGATGCGGTATGTCCGTGTGGTCCGGGCGCGGCGGCGGCGAGGGCGTCGGCGTGCGTGGTCGAGTGCCGCCGATGGCCTCCAGGGGGCTCCAGGCGGCGGAGATCGTTCGGGCTGCTTCACGCGGTGTCAGGGGCCAGAGCCCTGTCCGTCGTGGACTGCGCTTTCCGTGCGCTCGCCTGGTCTTTTTGAGATGGTGCCACATTCCTGAAGGTAAGCTCGACGGAAGGGGACACGGGCTTCAGGGAGCGCTTCGGGCTCGCATCGGAGACCTCGCGGGGCTGCCTGGTCGCGGGGTCGCCTTCTCGCAGCGGCGCTTCCCCCGCCCACTGCTGCAGCGGAGCCCCCCGTGCGGCACCCTACTGCTGGTGCCGCGCACCCGCGCCCTGCGCCAAATCCCTCTCGCGCGTTTCACTCGTTGGCGAAAAAAAAGCGGCATCCTTTCTTTATTTTCTTTGCGGAAGGGGCAATAGCGCTATCAGTGACGCTTAGCGGAGGTGCGCTGTTTGCTAGTTGAAAACAATTCAATTTCCCGTCAAGTTCGAGGGGGGGGGGGAATCGATCTGTCAAGTTGTTCTTCACGAGGCTTGTACATGGACCGCAGGAAAGCAGCATGGCCCAGAGCAGGTTCACCGCGTTAGCCTCAGACGAGAACGGCGGAGCCTGCAGCGGCCGGGCGGCGGCGGCGGCTGCCCGCGTGGGCGGCTAGGGCGTGGCCCGCAGGCAGAATTTGCACGCACGGGCCCTTTGGCCCTCGGAGAGCCCCCCCCAAAATGCCCCCCACCGTACGTTTAGAACTTTTGCCTCCGGAGGTAATTTCTCAAGGCAGGGCATTTGTTTTGGAGAGGTGCCCTCCATAAATCTTCGGGGCATCAGGCAGGTACTCAGCGATCACGTCTGGGCCGCATTGGTGCGCGCCGCTTGTCCCCTGGATGTGCGCTGCCCCCCGCCCCACCCCCGTTTCCACAACGCCGAGCGCCACCCCGACAGCTCGACCCAGGAAGGGCTTCCTCCTGCTGCCGCAGGCGAGTCTTCGTCTCGCCAATTCCCGACGGCGCTAGGGTCCCCCTCCGCGCGGGGGGTGGTTTTGCCGCAGGCATCCTTCCAATTCTGAGGCGGGGGGGTGGGGGGGTGGTAGAAGGACAGGGGATACAGCCTGATTCCATTTGCGGTTGGGGATCGCCGTGTCCCAGTCGTCCCGACGCTAGGTCTTTTAGCAGCTGTCACGGTCAGGAGTACACCGGCAAGCGGTGGAACTTGGAGAGCCCCGACGGCGGGAGCAGCAAGAGCTTGAAGTGGCGGAAGAAGAAGGCGACCCCTCCGCCCTCTCATCCCCCGCCCTGCTCCCCGTCTCATCCTCCTCCCGCCTCCTCTCCTGGAGCGTGACGTTCGAAGACGCCCCTTCTCCTGCTGCTCGTCCTCCCCCGCGCCCGCTTCCTCCTCCCCCCGCGCCCTTCCCCAAGATAACAACACCCCCACGGCCCGCTCATTTCCGCCCTCCACTTTTCATCTCTCCCACCCTCTTCTTATCCCCATTATCTTTATTGACATGAAAATAGCACATCGAATCATTCGTGTTGTTGGTTTGTGCTGTTTCTCTCTCTCTCTCTCTCTATATATATATATCATTGCGCTCTCGCCGAGCCTGGAGTCGCTCCGCCCCCCCCCCCGAGTGGAAGAGAGCAATCAGGCTGGGACGGCTTTGCGTGCGCTTTCACTGGCAGCAGTGGCCGCGGCGGTGTTGTAAGGAGGGACCTCTCCCTCCTCCTGGGTACGGAAAGTGCTGCAAGGTGTGGAAGTGCTGTGAGGCACAGCACTTCCACACCTGCCCGAAGGGGGGCTGCACAGGGCTTCGGGAGCTTAACAGCTGTCTCCGGACTCCAGGCCACGCAACGAGCACACAGAAAGGACCTCCGACGATCATTTTCACTCTCCTCCACAGGTTTAGCAAGCACGTCGCCGACGACAGCAATATCTGATGCTGCATCATGTCTTGAGTGAGGTGTCGGAGAAACTGGGGTCCCAGCACATCCTGTGAGTGGAAGGTTGTTGGCTTCAATGGCCATCTTGCAGCAGTGAATCATAGGCGCGTCGATGAGCAGCCTGGACCATCTTGCGAAGAGACACGCACGAATCTAGGCCTCCTAGATAGGGTCCGAGTAGAGGGGTCGGAGGATCGCGCCGCATCGGCGATGCGGCTCGATGTCGGGCCCAAGGTTCTCCACGCCGACGTCGCCAGTGCGTGGCCGATGCATCGCCGATGCATCGCCGATGCATCGCCGATGTATCGGCGATGCGGCGCGATCCTCCGACCCCCCCCCTCTCTGCTCGGACCCCATCTGACCAGGAAGCCTCGCACGAAGACGACCGCATGCACGGGGAACGGACGCCCGGGCGATGGCGGGAGCACCTCTCCCGTGCGGCTCCTGTGCCGTGCGGGGGCTCGTCTCTCGCGTGGCCTCTTCGGGGGACCTCGCCGGTCCCCCCAAACTGGTGCCTTCTCCTGTGCCCAACGCGGATTTGGCGTGGATTCGACGCGGATGCGACACGGAGTCGACACGGATGCGACGAGTCCGACATGGGTTCGACGCGCACAGGGCCACGGTGGGACAGACGAGGCCCCCCGAGGATGCAGCATAACGTCGCTCTGAGGGCCTCCTCCCGGGCGCCGACGTGTGGACTTCGGGAGCCCCTGCTCTGGAGGGCGCGGCCGTCCCGATTCTTTTTGAAGGGCCTCTGGGGATCTGGACTGTGCTCTCCGCGAGGCTGTCGTGGGCAACGGCCCGGGGTGTGGACGTTTCCGTCGATCTTGTCGGAAACTGGAGCATGCAAAGTATCAGTGGCGGGCTGCTTTTCAATCCCAGGACATTTTGGGGGTCAGGGACGACGTCGGGGTGGTGTAAAGTATACTTGTTGTTCCCGTTTCCCGAGGAAGCGTTGAAACATGTATACACCAGGGTGCCGTATACACCAGGATCCGCTTTCCTATGCGAGTTTCAGTGCAGCGCCGGGGCAATCGTGGGTGTATAGAGTTCGGCTCCCTATCATGGACAACGACTGGGGATTGGACGTTTTCGTCGATTTTGCTGTCGTCTCTTGCCTCGGAAGGCCTTCCAGCAGCTGCGCCTCGTCGAGATCGCTTCGCGGGTGCCAGGATCGCCCCAGACGGCTTCTGTATTTTTGTACCCGAAAACCAGAGATGCACCTCATCATGGAGAAGGCTCCCCTCTCTATTGCACGCAGGACGGCTGGGTGGTAATGGGGGGTGACCTAAATCGGGGTCGAGAAGAGGGCCTTCAAGAAACCCGTAAGGGTCCCTTTTGAGCAGGAGCCCAAAAGGGGCCCTGAGGGACCCCTTTTGGGTTCTTCTCTTCACCCCCCACCCAGGTCCCCCCCCATTGCCACCCGCCTGAGCAGGGGCAACGACTGCGGGGGACGCGGGAGTTGAGTCGACCCCAAGTCGCCCATTCGTCGCCGAGCCCCGCCAGCCCTGGGCGGCATTCGGCGGCGAGCGAGAGGGGGAAATGAGAAGGAGAAAGCCTCATCAGAAGGCGGCGGGACTTCTCAGAAGCCCTCGCGCCTCCTGAGAAGCTTTTTGTGTGTCCGGGGAAGGCTTAGACAACTCTTCAGATGGCCGGGGGACTTCAGAGGAGAAGGAGGAGGAGGAGGAGGAGGAGGAAGAGGGGCAGGAGGAGGAGGAGGAGAAGAAGGAGGGGGAGGAGGAGGAGGGGCAGGAGGAAGAGGAGGAGGCGGAGGAGGAGAAGGAGGCCGAGGTGCGTCGCCGATTCCAGGTCGTGGTCTCCTCCCCCACTTTGAGCCGGCTCCCCCCCTCTGCCGCGCCCCTTCGGAACACTGCGGTGGCAACGGGTTCTTCTTTGGCGCCGTGCTGCTCACCAGCCTGATAGGAGGCACGCCGTACGGTTTTGCAATCGAGGACCTATCTCAGAGCCCCGAATGATCGGGGGTAACTCGGGTCAGGGCTAACTCGGGTTCGTTTTTCGGGAATCCGCACCCGAGTTGCCCCAGATAGCTCGGGTGCCCAGCTATCGCCGCGCTGATCTGTCGGTGGTGTGTCGCCGGTTCCAGGTCGTGGCCTCCCCCCCGAGACGGCTCAGCCCCCAGCGTGAAGTCGGGCAGGCCCCTCTACAGGAAAGAAATTCGAGAATAGGTGAAACATACTCTGGAGACGGCTTCGTGCTCTGTTGACTATCTTTGAGTTGTTGTTCGCATATGGTGTAGCCCTCTTGCAGAGTCCGCCTGTCTGTAGGAGGACGTGCCCGACCCAATCCTGCCGTCCCCCCGCAAGACAGGGCGGTGGCACCGGGGCCTTTATCGGCGCCGTGCTGTTCGTTGGTCTGATCGGGAGCATGCCGGTCGTCCTGGCCTCCTTCGCGCACAAGCTCACCAAGACGCAGGCGCCGCCGCGACCTCGCTCCGCCCAGGGGCCGCGCGCGCGAGGGCAGGAGGAAGAGTCAAGCAGTGGCGAAGCGTCCCCGCTCGCCTGTGGGCCCACCAAAGAATGTTCTAAGGATTTGTTGTGGCCTGTCTGCACGAAGTGTTCTTAGAACATTTCTGGTCGAAGCTGTCTTGTTTAGCATATCGGGCTTATGTTCTAAGAGCCTTGTTTCGTTTTTTCGAGCATGTTTGGCTTCTACGAACATGTCGTGGTAGGCCTATAGGAATTCTGGGACGGTCGGTCCCTGCTCAAAAGAGGAGGCGCAGGAGGATGATGAAGACCAGGGCGAACCCAATAGGCACCAACGATGCTGCAAAACGCCCTCCTTTCCCGAGTCCCTTCCTGGCACGTCTCTCGCAAGTCCCCCTTGCCTCTACAAGAAGCGGCCTCTATGCCCTGGGGGAAGACCGGCACATACCGTGACAGCTGTCCGGGCCACTCTACCCGCAATGGCGCGCGGGCCCGCCCAGGTCGTGCTGTCCCCGCTTTGATCCTTGGGGTGCTCAGTTTCTGGAGGACCCGGTGCCCCCCCCCCCCACACGTCTGGGGATGACGCCTTCTGCACATGTGTTCCCAAGCAAGTCGGGCGCCCTTGACTTGAGCATCCGGAGACTGATCGGGGCAGGGTCTGAGAGGTTTCTGCGGGTTGAACACTGCGCGTGCGGCGCAACTGCGACAGGCGACAATGCATTTCTCACCCGTCTCAAGTCTTAGCACCACCAAAGAGTGCCATGATATCTTGCTGCAGATGTCTTCGACGGTGCATCGCCTGTGCACTTCCCGCTCGGGCCTCCTTCCTCCTGGCAGGTCAGGCCCTCGCGAGCTGCTTGGTAGGTTCGTATACAGCTCAAGGTTTCGGTAGAGGCCATCGGAGTACAGTTCGCGTACCGCCAGCAAGGCCGAGTTCTGGGAGTTCTGTCAAGTCGTTATCAGTTCTCGGGAGTGTGCGATCGGAAACTTTTGGATGTTCGCTCCGCCGGTTCTGGCCCACCGCTCTTCGGTGCGAAGCACTATCGAACTTCCCAGTCCCCATGCCTCAACGTCCCGAGCCTCTTCGTGCCTCCCGCCCCGCGGAGCTGAGCGATACGCTGTCCGCTTACCAGGCATATCGTGTCGCCGGGGCAGTCGCGGCCCGACCCCACGCGAAGCGAAGGTTCTCAGCCGTAGTCGATAGCCAGTCTGGCAGCAGTCAAGCTCTTTGGCTGCAATCGGGCCCAGGCAGGGACGAAGCGTTGGCCAGATTCAGTTCACACTGCACTGTCGTGTTCAGTCGGGCATGCCCGAGGAGTTTTCGAACAGGGACGACAAGATATTCCGGGGACAGTTTGTGACTATTTTGACACCTGTTGCGTAGGTTTGACTATATCTTGTTGTCGTCCAAACTCCGCCTGCAGGAGCAGGGTTGGACCTAAACGGTGTTTTGGCGATTTCGTGGGCCGTTTTCGTTTCGATTTCGTTTTGCGTTAAAGGCGGATTGAAGACACAACGAGGGAAAACGAAAACAACACGAAAACGAAAAACACCGTTTAGGCTCAGCCCTGCGCAGGAGGACGTGGCCCGACCTGGCCGCCGTGCTCGCCGTTCCGCTTGGTGGTCCCAGCCCCGAGCAAGGCGGGGCATGCCCTTGCCAGCCCTCTGGGGCAGGCGGCCTCTGGGCGAGGCGACGGGTCTGCTGCCCCCCTCCGGAGCCGGAGGAAGAGAGGAGGAGGAGGAGGATGGATTCGAGGAGGAGGAGGAATTCGAGGAGGAGGAGGAGCAGCAGGAGGAGGAGGATGAGGAGGAGGAGGGAGGAGGAGGAGGGAGGAGGAGGAGGGAGGAGGAGGAGGGAGGAGGAGGAGGAGGAGGCACTCGCCAGCCGAGGGGCTGACCCCGTGTCTCCCCCCCGTGCTGCCCAGCCGTCGCGGGGCCGTGCTCTTCTTGGCCTCCAGATGGGGTCCGAGCAGGTGGGGTCGGAGGATAGCGCCGCATCGCCGATGCATCGACGATGCGGCTCGACGTGGAGCCCGATGTTACCCACGCCGACGTCGCGGGTGCGTCGCCGACGTCGCCGATGCATCGCCGATACATCGCCGATGCAGCGCCGATGCATCGCCGATGCGTTGACGATGCGGCACGACCCTTCGTCCCGTATCTACTCGGACCCCATCCATGAGGCCTTTGGCTCTGGACCTGCCGTTCGGTGATTCAAGGTCTGTGTGCTGTTGCTCCTGCTGATTTGGGATGTCAGGGTACTCTTCCCGCTTTGGGATTCGCGTTCGCGCCATGTTCGGTTCGGTTACGTGTTGTACGGCCGTTGTTTTCTGTGCTGGGTTGCCGTCTGTTTTTCCCGTGCTGGTTGGCCCAAAACCCGAACAGCTAAAACGGACAACACGCCCCCAGCGTCTTTATCGGCGGCGCGCCCCGGAGAGAAGTGAGAAGGAGCGGTCCATCTCAGAAGGCGTCGGGGTTTCTCAGAAGCCCTTCGGCCTTTGAGAAGTTCTGTGCGTTTTCGGCGAAGGCCTAGACAGCTTCCCAGAAGGCCAGATGCCCTTCCGAGTCTTCTGAGAAGGCTGGCCCCTTCTGCTTTCCCCCTGGGCCCGCCGCCGATTTTCGTCACGGGCCGTTTTGCTGGTGGCCTGGGGCCCCGGAAGCGCCTCCGAGATGCCGGACGCCGTCTAACAAGTAGGCCTTGGCTTTTTGATTGCCGATCAGCAGATATGAGCCCAAGCTCCGTGCACGACCACGTGAGCTTAAAAACCCGGCCTTTTTCGGGAAAAGCGAAGCACTCAAGTCTGTACAGCGGAACCGGCGCTCATGAGGACACTCTGTCTTGCCAGTGCGGCCGCACCATGCTCGAGGGACGGATGCTTCAGAACAAAATAGTGGGCCATGGCTTTGAGGAGGAGGAGGAGGAGGAGGAGGAGGAGGAGGAGTGCAATGTGTGGCCCAAGACCTCGGGCCTGGGAGTCATCGAACAACTGCGGCTCCTCACTGATTTTCGCTGTCTGGAGGTTCTCTTGGGGCTGTCTTGCAGCGTGTGCCACATCAGAGAGGCCTCATGAGTTCTCTTCTGGCCGTCTGGGGGCCGTCTTGGGGCACCTCGGAGCGCCCCTGGGCCGTCGTGGGGCTATACTGGGCCTTGTTGGGGCTCTCCTGCGCCATCGGCGGGCCCCCGAACGATGGAAGAACACTTCGCACATGGTTGGCGAATGTTTCGTGGCCCGCCGAGGGGGTGAATGGAAGTCGGGACGTTACACTGTGGCGGCATTGTCCGCACCATTGGTTGCTTCCAACGTGTTCGGTGCCTTCTTCGAACCAGGCCTGGGCTTGGCTGTCTGTCCGTTAACTGACCCCTTCGGCCCTCGTTGGTGGTAGGGGCAGTGATGATGACATGGTGCTGTTGATGATGGTGATGATGATGATGATGACGATGATGATGATGATGATGATGATGATGATGATGATGACGATGCTGATGCTACTGCTGATGATGATGATGGATTGGTGGTGGGGGTGATGGTGATGATAAGGCTTGCGATGGTGATGGTGGCGGTGATTGTGATGCTGCTGCTGATGATGAAGACGAGGATAATGATGATGCCGATGACGAACGACGGTGATGGTGATGGTGATGGTGTTGGTGTTGGTGATGATGATGATGTTGATGATGATGATGATGCTGATGATGATGCTGATGATGATGATGATGATGATGATGATGGTGGTGGTGGGCGTCGTGGTTGTGATGGTGACGATGAGGCTTGTGATGGCGATGGTGATGGTGACGATGATGGTGACGCCGACGACACGACGTCGGTGAGGACGACGGCTACGACGACGTCGTGGTGACGACAACGGCGACGACGACGACTACGACGACGAACACGACGACTTCGACTGCGACGACGATGATGATGCTGCTGATGATGATGCGGATGCTGATGATGATGATGATGATGATGGCGATGATGATGATCTTGCTGATGACGATGATGATGATGATGATGATGATGATGATGATGATGACGATGATGATGATGATGATGATGATGATGATGATGAGGATACTGATGACGGCAATGATGAGGAGGATATTGATGATGACGATGATGAAGATGATGACGACGATGACGATGCTGATCATGGTGATGCTGACGCTGATGATGATGGTGCTTATGACGATGATGCCAATGATGAGGATGGTGATGCTGCGCATGATGATGATGATGATGATGATGATGATGATGATGATGATGATGATGTTGCTGCTGTTGTTGCTGCTAATGAGGCTGATGATGCTGATGGTGATTTATGGTCGCGTGGGTGCCGAAGGATAATCGACGTCTACGTGCGCACATGCGGGGAGCCGACCACGCTGGTGTGCAGTACCAGCATGAGTATCGCAGTGCTCTGCGGCGAATGTTGCTGCACCCCGCCGCGTGCCGCAGCATCTGCGAATTAGATAGGAGCGACCTGTCCTAGGCACGGCAGACCCGGAGGGGCCGAAGCGATGATGGCCCATGGACGCCATTACACGCAAGTGGGAACCGCGGTGAGGGAGCCACCGCCTGAGGGAACCGCCGTCCCCCCCGGTTGGTCCAGCGCCCCGTGGTCGTCGTATTGTTTGACTGTGGTCGATCGCTTTGCGCTTCGCCAGCAAAGGATCCGCCACGCGTGGGGATTGCCTGCGTAGGTGCCGCCTCCGTGGGAGCCGCCGCCGTGGGAGCCGCCACTGGGCGCGTAGGAACCGCCTGCGTGGGAACCGCCGCGCGTAGGAGCCTCCTGCGTAGGAGGCGCCGCCGAGGGAGCCGCTTCCGTGGGAATCGCCGCGGGAACCGCCACCGTGGGGGCTGCCGCCGCCCTGGGAGCCGCCTCCGTGGGAGCTGCCGCAGTGGGGGCCGCAGCCGTGAGAGTCGCCGCCGTGAAAGCCGCTGTGGGAGTCGCCTTGATGGGAGCCACCGCCGTGGGAGTCACCGCCGTGGGAGCTACCGTTGCGGGAGTCATCTCTGTGGGGAAGCCGCCGCCGTTGGAGCCGCAGCCGTGGGAGCTGCCGACACGGAAGCCGCGGTGATAGCTAGGGGGCCCGCCTCGAAGAGTCGCCGTGGTGGGAGTTGCCGCCGTGGGAGTCGTGGGAACCGCCATCATGGGAGCCAATTTCGCGGGAACCGCCGAGGGAGTCGCTTCCGTGGGAGCCGCCGCCGTGGGGACCGCCTGAAGGGGAGCCGCCGCCATGGGAGCCGCCGTCGCGGGAGCTGCCGCCGTGAGAGCCGCTTCCATGGGAACCGCCGCCGTGGGAGCCGCCGCCGTGGGAGCCGTTTGCTTGGGAGCCGCCGCCTGAAGTGGTCCGCCCCGTGCCGCAAATTGGAACCGACACGAATGGGGCCGAAGCTGGACACCACATACAAGCCGAAGGGGGAGAGGACGTAGTGGCACCAGATGGATTGGTCGAGCCCATCGAATGCCTGGCGCCGGTGCCGCCAACTCACGATGGACACTTGTAGCCCGAAGGGAGGATACAGGTGGACATGAACGTGAGCGTGAGCACCTGCACCGCCGTTGCCAGGAAACTGGACCAGGTGCAGGATTATAAGGATGCACGGTCGCGTGGGTGCCGAAGGAAAATCAGTTTCTACGTGGGCACAGGCGGGGGGCAGACCACGCTGGTTTGCAGCAGCAGCATTGACCTCGCAGCGGTCTGCGGCGAGTGTTGCTGCACCCCGCCGCTTGCCGCAGCATTTGTGAGTGAGGCAGGAACGACCTGTCCCAGACACTACAGACCCGAAGGGACCGAAGCGATGCTGATAATGTTGCTGGTGATGATGATGGTGTTGATGATGGCAACGGTGCGGATGACGACGATGATGATGATAATGATGATGATGCTGGTGCTGCTGCTGATGATGATGAGGATGATAATGGTGTTTTTGATGATGATCAGGCTGCGGATTCGATAACAATGAAAGGAGGGAGAGGAAGAGGATGAGGTGGATGGCGTTTAATTGCTATGAGGAAGATGTGGATTATGAGAAGGCTGACAAGGTGTCGGAAAAAAAGGCGGACAAGGATAAGGAGGGATAGACGGGAATAGGTAGTGAGAGGGGCAGGCGAATGATAACGATAATGAGCGGATTGCCAAGGATACCGCCGAGACGCAAGCCTCCTCGGATTGCGTCTCGGCGGTATCCTTGGCCAGGGTAGCGAGGATGACCAGATCGCCGAGGATACTGCCAACGACGATATCAGGCGCAAGCGGGGCGGGGGAAGCCCGTTGCGCGGCCAAACCGTCAACACGATAGTGTGAGCTGTCAAAGCACGACGGCGACAACACCAAGGTTGTACCCCCGCGCAGACAGAGAACTAAACAAAGCGGACCGTTCGTCTGATTCCACCAGGCCCGAAGGCTTTGGTCATGTCCCGCCGCGCAGCCTCAGCTTAGATAGCGACACCCCCCCACCCAAAAGGGTGCCGGCCCAAACCCCCGCCCCAAGGAAGTCGGGACCCTGGAACATCAACGACGACCGGGCGGGCCGCTTGATCCGTGTAGACACGGTGCCCAGAAACAACCCCGCCAGTCCCTTTGCCCAAGGGGCACCAGGTGGCACGCATCCGTGCGCCTCCGACGACGAATTCGTTGAAGTGACCAGAGTGCGGTAGGATGGCGTACAGCAGACAGGATCGTCCCGTGCTGCTCGCCGCACCACCCGCCGACATTGGGTGGTTTTCTTCCCGTCGCGGTAGGAGTGGCGGAGCCCCGAAATCCTAGTCTGCGCCCGCCTGGCCGCGCGCGGCCAGGCGGTGTCAGGCCCCCCGACCTAGGACCTCACCATGCCTACCGCAGCGCAGGCTGGAAAGTCTACGACTACCTTTATTCCCCCACCCAAGGGTCAAACCCACGGTGACGAACTGGATGCTACCCGCTTGTTTTCCTGGGAAGGGGGCCCAGTGGCACAGGTGCCCTAACAATGAGGAAGGGAACGGAGGGCCAGGAGGAGGTGAGGGTGCAGGTACGGATGTAGAGGGAACGGGTAGGAAGAGGAAAGGGTGCGGAGTAGGAGCTGGAGCATGGGATGCGATGGGGGGAGTGTGTGTGTGTGTGTGTGTGTGTGTGTGTGTGGGGCGGCCGAGGTGCTGGAGAGTGTGCTTTTGTATATGTGGCTGATCGGAGGGTTATACTTGTTCACGAACGTTCTCATTTTCCAGTCCCCGCACTTCGAGCAGCCGCGCACGCTGTCCATGGAGGAGTCGGTCTACCTCTATTCCCAGATCCTAACAACAGTGGGCTACGGCGACATCACCCCCGCCAGGCCGCGCGGCCAGCTATTCATAGGCGTATTCGTGCTAGTCGCCCTCCTCTTGATTGCGGGCATGATCCAAGAGCTGCTGGAGGTGTTTGAGGAACTGATGGAGACTCGGATCGAGAGGCTTAGCAAGGAGGCGACGCAATATCAGACTGCCTCCGTAGAGAAGGAAACGAGGCCAGTACTGCGGGAGGCGTTCGTGCCAGTCATCTACTCGTCACTGGTGTTTTGCTGCTTCGTCGCTTTTGGGACCTTGTTCTTCAGTTTGTATCCAGGGGAGGGGAAGACCACAGCCCAAGCTGTCTTCGTCCTAGCATCTCGCGATCGGGGCCACGCCGATCAAAGGAGATCGCCTCCTCCCTCGCCCTTCCCTCTTCCACATCTTCTCCCTTCTCCTCCTTCCCCCCTGGCATCGATCTAATATGATTCTGCGCGGGCATCCGCACGGCTCAGTCTTGTGCACCTTGCTGCTCCTCTGCGGTAGGACTCCTCTTCCTCCTCCTCCTTTCTTCCTCTTCCTTCTCCCTTCCTTCGTCCTCGTCCTCCTCATCCTCCTCCTCCTCGTCATCATCATCACCACCATCATCGTCATTATCCTCATCCTCACCCTCACCCTCATCATCATCATCATCATCATCATCATCATCATCCTCATCATCATCATCATCATCAGCATCATCATCATCATCATCATCATCATCACCACCACCACCATCATCATCATCATCGTCATCCTCATCCCCATCCTCATCCTCATCCTCATCATCAGCGTCATCAACAACAGCAGCATCAACATCCTCGTCAGCCATCATGCATCATCAGCATCATCATCAGCATCATCATTCATCACCATCATGATTCATCATCATCATCATCATCATCATCATCATCATCATCATCATCATCATCATCATCATCATCATCATCATCATCATCATCATCATCATCACCATCACCATCACCATCACCATCACCACCATCATCATCCCTTTCCTCCTCCCTCCTCCTCCGTCCTCCTCCTCCTCCTCCTCCCCCTCCCGCCCGCTGTTCTTTTATGTCGCAGCGCGGCAGAGGCAGTCCGCACGCGCGGTCAGGCGGTCCGGGCAACGGTACACGCAGATGAACTGGCTGCAGGAGGGAAAATCAGGCGAAAGCGGCCGCGTGGGAGGAGGGAGGGAGGGGAGGGCACTCACATGGCGAGGTGCGTCGCCGTGGAGCGGCCGGGGCGGCCGGCATCACAGCCACACCCAAGGGCTGAAGCAGGGGCTGCAGTGCACGAAGCGGAAAAGGCACAGCAGTGACGGGGAGGGAAAAAACGGCCACGTCGATGATGTCCCGAGAAGTGAGGATGGCCAAGGGCCGGCTGGAAGGGGGCGGGCAGTGTTGCTTGCTGGGGTTTGCCTTGGCAGGTGCGGGGGGGGGGACAGATCCCACCAGTGGCCGGCCAGTGAGGAAGCGGTGCAGCAGGTGGCGGGGGCGCAGTGGCGCGCCCGCCCAGCAGTACCACGGACAGCAGGGACCACACCGAACGGCGGGGGCCCGTAACCGGCCTGCGGGGGGCTGCGACGGGGCAAACGACTGTGACCCCAGGTCGCCGTCCAGCGAGGCGGCGGACATGCGGAGTCGAAAGCGGCGTGCAGGCCTGACACCGGCAAAGCGCCGGGAGGGGGGCAGCGGTCCCCGCGCCCCGCCGGTGCACGCACCCAGCTGAGGGCGGGTGGCGCCCCGCCTCCGGGGGAGCGGGGCGGAGGCTCCCCGCTGCAAGGGCAGCGGGGGGGCAGAGACTGGCCGGCACCATGAGGCATGGCGGCAGGCCCGGGCGGCGCCCAGCCTGGAGGCAGCCCGCGCAGTGGCGCAAGCGCCCAAGCGGAGCGGCAGAGGGGCGCCTCCTGGCACGCCCACGGGCTGGATGGCCCAGGGGCAGCATGGCTCACGGGAGGCAGGCCTGGGCGCCCAACTGGCCGGCGCAGGCGCCACCCTGGGCGCCCAAGCCACCGGCAGGTGTCAAGAAGGGCTCAGCTTCTGGGGCTAGGCTGTGCGAGTCTGCGCCAACTTTGCATCGAAATGTATAGCATCCAGGGCTTTTCCTGGGCGTAGATTTTGTGGGATTTGGAAATGTCAAGCGTCGTGTGCAGCGCGTTGGGATCTTCCGGCTAGGACAGAAGGCCAAATATCCTATTGCTTGTCGTCTCTTAGCCATGCAGCTCCATGTCAGCCAAAGCAGGCTGCCAGCAGAAGGAGGGTTCAGCGAGCCCGTCCAGCCCTCTCGGGGCATTCTGGCTGGGTGTAATCAGTCTGTGGATGAGGACAGGGTGGCGCCGTGAGAGATCGTCCATCACCTCCACAGCGCTTGCTTGCCGCTGCCGCTGGACACCTGGGTCGACGTCTTGTCTCAGCGCGTGTTCGGGCGCAGCCGGGTGGTGCATAGGCACGTGGTGCTTGTTGCCGCAGCAGTCGCCACAAAGTGCGCGGGCTGGCTTGAGGGTTTCCAGCAGAAGTACCCTTCATCACGAATCCTCACCGGGCGATGGGATTGTGAAGGAGCTGCAAGACCAGGGCGTCCAGTTCAGGCTGGTACAGCGAGTGATTGGTCTGGGGCTCTGGCCGGGGCTGCGTGTCGTCGGGCGAAGCAGCGTCTTGCTGGTGTGGCTGGCCGAGCGGCCGTGGTTGCCAGGGCTGCCAAGTCTGTCCCTGGGGCGGCGCGGCTCGGGACGGCCGCTCTCACCCTCTAGGCCACTTTCAGGAGGGGAAAAACACACAGACACAATCAATCGGCGATTCCCCAGAAAATATGGGAAAATATGGGACGTGGGGGGGGGGGGAAGACAAACCCCCAGAAAACATGGGAAAATATGGGGAATCCTTTTGTTTGTGTGTATTTATTTGTGTGTCTCAGGGCCCCTTCACACTTGGGGTTTTGAAGGCATGGGCACGGCCCGTTCGGAGGTCGAGGGCCCGGGTCGCGGGCCTCGCATGGGGGGGGTCGCAGGGCATGGCGGCTGGCGCCCCTGCGGCCGTGCGCGTGGCCCGCGGGGTGCTGGCACGACCCGCTCGTTTTTTGGCGAGCTTCGGGCCGCGACCCCCTCGAGTCGTGAAAAAATCACGACGGGAGGTTCTTCGCTATTTTCGGCCTCTGAGGGCCCTTACCGGGCCTCGGGACCGTCAAAAAACGACTCGGGATGAAAAACCGGTCCCGGGGAATGGGTCTGGACCTCTGGGGGTCGCGTCATGAAAAAATCATGACGTCGGGGGTCTGAGGGTGTTGGTCACGTGGCTTGAGGTGCGGCTTATGGTTCTCCACGAGGCCCGCGCCGCTGTCAGAAGCCAAGCCGAGGCGGGGCAAGGTCAAGGAGCCCCTCGGTGCTGCCACTGCTTGCTCGCTGGGTCTCGGATGGACGGCTCCCGGGCCGCGGTTTCGGGAGGGCGGCGATGCTGACGTGGACGGCGATGCTGACATGCTGCTCGATTTCGTAGCCCAGGACTCCCCAGGCGCTCCAGTCTGAAGCCTGGCCGCGAGGCACATCCAGGGGGTGGGGCCCAAGACGGCGCCGACCTCACAGTGGCCGTGAGGCTCCGGGGCCAGACGAAGCGCGCGAGGCAGTCTGACGAGGCAGTTGTCGTACAGTGGAGGCCCATGCGAAGAAACACCCTGCTTGCCTCCAGGGTGCCCTGGGTTTCTTGGGTTTCGATGGTTCTGCCATGGAAAGCGTGACGTTCCCACCCCCCAAGATCCATGGACGTCCTGGGGTCTCAGGGTTTGATTTCTTGTGGAAGGTTTCTTCTGGTCGGGCCCCCACCGCAGGCACGGTTTTGACAAGGGCCCTTTGGCCAGGAGCCTGGCGGCTCCGCGCGGACGCGAGGGGCGCGAGCTCGGCGCCTGTGGCCGGCCAGTGTCGGAGGGCTGTGCTGGGCCCGGAGCCCCCCTTGCCGCCCCCCCCGGGGCCTCCACATCCCGCTGCTCGGCCCCGCGGGAGGCGGCAGCGCGACGAGGCCGCGAGGCCCCGAGCCGGAATGGCAGCACTTGACCTTCCCGACGACGACGACGACGACGATGACGACGACGACGACGACGACGTATTTTGAAGATCTTCTCAGGCAGGAGCAGGAGGACCCGCTCGCAGAACTTCCCTGGGCGGACGACGAGGCCGAGCTGGGGAGCCCAGGCTCGGTTCGCGGCGGCGCCCGGGCAACTTCCAGATACGCGCCAGCATATGCCCAAGACGTGGAGCACCCCTTGGAGACGCTGTTCCATCAGTTCTAGGAGTGCCTGGCCACAGACCGGCTGGGAGGCGCGCGCCCAGAGTTTTATGACAAAGCCCAGGCGGGAGTGGACGAGTTTCCTTGATATTGGCTTCGAGGCGTGCCGCCAGCTGAGTGGGCCCTCGGCCCGATCACGACTCCTGTCGACTGCCCCGTGCCGCCCCGCGGCTGTCTCGCCATCCTTGGCCGGAGGGACCATCGAGCTCCAGTTGGAGATTGGGTGCGGTCGGATGGGTCGGGGGGGATAAAACGACGCGAAGATCAGGACAAAATCGGATCGGGATAACTCGAAATCTCTGAGAATCGGCGGGTTTGGAGGATGTATCGGGCGCCGCGGCCGCTCCAGAGCGTTCCGGAACGCTCTGAGAGCGCTCGGGAACGCTCTGGAGCGATTTATCCCGATCCTAGCCCTGTTTTAGGGGAATTATTAATCCGACGTTCGTTTACGGCGCTGTGGCTGGAGTTTTGCTGTGCTCAGAGGCGCGACCCCGCCAGGGTTGGCCACGCGGGGCCCAGCAAGGGGCCACAAGCAGGGCGTGCCGCCGGCGGAGCTGGAAGGAGGAGGAGGAGGAGGAGGAGGAGGAGGAGGAGGAGGAGGAGGGCGGGGGAGGAGGAAGAGGAGAAGGAGGAGGAGGAGGAGGAGGAGGAGGAGGAGGAGGAGGAGGAGGAGGAGGAGGAGGAGGAAGGGCGATCCAGAGGCACCCCGCCGCACCATGGCCCGGTGACGCTGATAGTCGATGGTGCCGTTGTGGTGCGGACCTGTTTCGAGGGTGCCACACCTCCAGCCAGATCGTCAACAGAGCTCGGGGGCGGAAAAGAGGGGGGTGATGACTAGGGGGGGTAGATATCATGGCGGGGGCCATGATATCTCCCCAGATTTCATGGCGCCTCTTCTTATTTCATTACGTCCCTGGCCCCCCCTCTGGGCCGCGCACATGCCGCCGGTCATGATTTGCACCCCTCCCTCTTGGACACCCCCCTCTTTGCCGCTCCCGAAGAGCGGCCCGGGGGGAATTTTGGCGACTTGCCGAGGGCAGGACAGTCAACATGATCAAGGTGAAGTCCCACGCCGTCCCCCAGTTCGAGGACGGTGAGGGGGTCCTCCCAGCCCAATGGTTGGTCAATGGGGTTGCCGACCAGGCGGCTGAGTAGGGGGCTGTTCGGGCCCAGCTCCCACGGTGGGCCATAAGTGATGTGTTGGCCAGAGACGGTCATGGTTCGAAAGTGCTTGAACACCTCACTTCGGTCGCCTTTGAAATTGCCAGGCGGGCTCCGGAGCTGTATGGGCCTATCGCCAAGGCTGCCAGGCTCGCCGAGGCCAAATATCGAAGTAAAGCCAAACGGGCGGAGCTGCAGGAGGCAATGGCAGAATACACACACACACCCGGCCTGGAAGGGGTCCAAGTGCGCTTGAAGTGTGGGACCTGCGGGGCACAGCCCCGAAGCAACATGTCGACGTGGTTGCGCGAGGCATGCCTGGGGAGGCCCGCCGCTTTCACAACACCCACCGCCTGGATGTCACCCCGAGGCTCCTCTGGTGCAGAGCTTGCGGCGCAACGGGCTCCAGTGGAACATATCAGAAGCTTGCCTCGCCGTGCGGACCAAGGAGGAAAGGAGTCAGGGGAAAAGGGTTTCGAATCCCCTTTCCGAATGGAAGTCCCCCCCCCCATGCCTTCACGCTTGGCCTGACTGTCGTGACAGTCGCTGAGGCTAGAGTTCTGGTTTTCGTTGCGCCCCTTTGCGGGATTCGCAGTGCCGATCGAAAGACAGGGGAGGAGGAGGGGGGCCAGGAGGAGAGGGGAGGAGTAGGAGGAGGAGAGGAGGAGGAGGAGGAGGAGGCGGAGGAGGAGGGGGAGGAGGAGGAGGAGGACGACGACGACGAGGAGGAGGAGGAGGAGGAAAATGAAGATGCAGTGGGGGAGGAGGGGAGGAGGAGGAGGAGGAGGAGGAGGAGGAGGAGGAGGAGGAGGAGGAGGAGGAGGATGAAGAGGAGGAGGAGGAGCGGAGGAGGAGTGGGGCTAGGAGGAGAGAGGACGAGAGGAGAAGGGGCGGGAGAGGGCGGTGGCGATGACGAGGAAACCGCCTGCATGTCTATCGCAGTGTCTTGCGACATGTTGTGTTTTTTGTGCAAGAAAACCAACAAGTGTGCAACCCTATTCGCCTGCTCTGCTCCCTTCTTTTCCGGGGCAGTAGAATGAGGAGAGGAAGGGGGAGAGAGGGGAAGTTCAGGGGCTCTGGGGGGCCTGGGGACACTTCGCTCTGTGCCCACTGCTTAGTGTCGGGCAGCAGTGTGAAGGCTACGGCCGGATATGAGATTTCCTGTCCGAGGCTCCTGTTCGGGGTCAGTTCTACAAGTTGGCATCGTAGAGTTGAGTGCGCAACCAGAGAGGAATGAATGGAATGTGATGAGAAGGGGCGATGGGAAAGAGGGGGACTGATGCTGGTAAAATTTTGCCCTTGCCCCCTTCTCTTCTTAGCGAGGAACAGAAGAAAACCATCCGCTGAATTTTGGTTGCAGATCTGGCAACTGAGGTCTACATGTCGCTCATCACCCTCAGCACCGTCGGGTTTGGGGCTTTCACGCCCTCCACGCACGCAGGCATGGTCGTCGGAGCGTTCTGGATGCTCTTCGGGACTGCATCCCTGGTAGCCGTGGTGACAAGCCGCGCGGCGTTCTCCATGGCCCTCAAGAAGCATGAGCTGGCCACATATGCCGATTCAGAAGTGGATCGTGGGTCTTCGGCGGGGTATTCCGGATCCTGCCACGATATCTGTGACAAGCCGGCATGAATATAATCCATGTCTGTGCTGGAGAAATCGGCCACCAACTTGTATAACAAAAACACCGACGTTGTGTGAGCACAATTGGATGCAAACAGGTTTCAGTGTGGCCGCTTTTTTATCACATGCCAGTTGTGTCCGCTAGCCACGGTTCTCAGCCGATGTAACCATCTATGGCTAGATAGACCGTGTCACCAGCACCTTCTGGTGCCAGCTGCGCAATAATATTATATGACGGGCGCTGCTGCAGGAAACCCTGGATCACATAATTGCACTCACATTGTTAAACCACATCCAAAGCTGCTGTGTTCGTTTTTGAACGATGGCGGGATGCTGGGAAGACGTTTGGAGTTGCACATTATAGTGGGAACGGGAACGACGGTGATGTTCGTTTCTTTTGTTACTTCTGGGTTATCGGTGACGGTTGTCGTTTTGTTTGTATCTCTGTCATGTTTGCCATCCAGCACTTCATACGTGTTATTCTCGTCTGCGGTTGTAGAGGGGATGCTGTCTGTGGGTGTGCCCGAGGGGCGGATGTGTGGATGGCACACGTGGGGCACTCAGGTTTCTGCGACTCTGCCTCTACAGCTTTCGCACAGACGGCAGTGGGCAGGAGGAGAAGTATGGTAAGAGAAGGAGCCGAATCAGGAGGGGGAGGAGGGGGACTTCGAGTGCTGTCCTGCACGGTTTTTTTCGACAGACCTGCCAGGAACCTTTTGCGTGCGCGAGCGCTCGGGGCAACGTCGTTTTTTCAGAGTCTTGATCGACGCGCTGGCTTTGCAGTCAAGCTGTTCGGAGCGAATGTTCCACTGTTTGCTGCCCCATCTTCCGCCAGAAGTGCTGCTTCTCCCGCCGCGTTGCCATCCCGCCGACCCGTCTCACCTTCTTCCCTTCTCCTAGCAGCCTCTCCTCCTCCGACTTGCATGCCATTTCCCCAGCAAATCTTCTGCCGTATTTACTCCTTTGCCTTTCTCACCACATCCCCATGCGTGCCTCGTTTGATCTTCTCATCTTGCCGTTTCCTATCTGACCAATTCTTCTCGATCTGTCCATCTTAATTCTTGTCCGCCCTAGCTTCCACTCTCCCTCTTCCTGCTGTCCTGGGACATCCTCCTTTCCCTCTTCCTGCCGTCCTGGAACCTCCTCTTCCTCTTCCTGCTGTTCCAGCTTCTTCTCTCCCTCCTGCCCCTCTTCCCTCTCCCCCTCCTCCCACTGAGCCTCATCCTCCTCGTCCTCCTCCCCCGCTCGCGTCCTCTCTCTTCCTCGCCCTCATCCCAAATCATTACACAATGTGTGGGTACTCCTCCCTTCTCTCCCCTGTCTCTGTCCAGAAGATTTTCGAACCTCTCCGCATGTTGTTTTTACACGCAGGATGTACGCAATTGGTTTTGCGGATTTGTGATTCTTGCAATCCGATTGTTCGTGGTGTTTCAAAATGGTTCTCCCGCTGCAGCATGGGCCTCATTTTCGGATCGGCGCTTTGCTCCCGTCGTCCTGAGTGACGTTCTCGTCCAAGCGCGGGCCACTTTTCTTGATCCGAGTCCTTTTTCATCGTTGGCGCCTCCTTCATATCCCCTCCTCCACCTACCCCTGGCCCCCCTGCTCCTCCCGCCCCTCCCACTCCAGCTCCTGCTGCTGATGTTCATGCTAGGCCTCCTTCCTCATCTTGCTCCTTTCCCCTCTGCTTATCCTCCTGCTCATTCGCCACCTCCTCCTCCAATGTACCCAGCTCCCTTCTTTCCCCGATTGCGCATGTCACGATGAGGTCCTCTTTGGAGTTCCAGGTTTGCTATCTGGCATATAAATTACAATAGCGCAATAGGAAGGGATGAGTGGGAGGGGTAGGATGGCAGATACGGCACGAGCGCGCCTAGCTTGCTTTCACATCTCTTCATACATACTTCTCCTCGTCCTCCTGGTCCTCCTCGTCCTCCTCTCCTCCTCTCCTCCCTTCCTCCTATCCTCCTCTTTTCCCTCCGTGCCTCCCGATGCGCGCAGGGCCAATTCCGATCAGGATGCGATCCGATGCTCCTCGTCGCCGTCACTCTCCTCCTCCTCCTCCTCCTCCTCCCTCCTCCTCCTTTCATGTGCCTACTTCCTGCCCCGCCCTCTCCTCTGAGCCGCTGAGCGCACACCCGTGGCGTCGAGTGGCGCTGGTGGCCACCAGCAAAGCAGGCAGAGCAAGGCACCCTGGATCACGCTGCGATTGGGCCACGGGCAGCGTGTGCGCTCCAGCGGGAAGCGCTGGGGGGGCGGATGAGCCCCAGCCCCTCAAGAACCTCCTCCCAGGGTCCATTTCAATATGATCGATCCGATTCGATACCGGCTCTGATTGGCCCGATTCGATGCGATTTCGATTTTCGGGGGATCCGATGCGGATGATGCTTACGTGACGCTGTTACGCATCCCTGCGCCGGCGATCCGATTCGATTGCGACTCCGTGCCGAGGCGGTCCGATTCGACACACGTTCTGATCCGATTTCCCGATTCGGTGCTGACTGTTCTTGCCTCGGCCTCCTCCTCGTCCTCCTCCTCCTCCTCCTCCTCTTCAGTCTCATTTTCCTCCTCCTCCTCCTCCTCCTCCCTCCTCCGCCCTCCTCCGCCCTCCTCCGCCCTCCTCCTCCTCCTCCTCCTCCTCCTCCTCCTCTCTCCTCCTCCTCCGCCTCCTCCGCCTCTCGTCTCTCTCCCCTCCTCCTCCTCCTCTTCTCCTCCTCTCCTCCTCCTCCTCCTCTCTCCTCCTCTCCTCCCCTCCTCCTCCCCCTCCCCTCTCACCAATTCCCTCGTCCCCGCCCGCGCCGACCCCGCCTGCCTCCCGCCGCGCAGCCGGCCCCTGGGCAGGAGCCGGCGGCGCTGCCGGAGGCCTGGGCACGGGCAGGGGAGGCGGGCCGAGAGGGAGCACCCGCGGGCGCCCAAGGGGGGAGGAGGGAGGAGGAGGAGGAGGAGGAGGAGGAGGGAGGAGGAGGAGGAGGAGGAGGAGGAGGAGAGGAGGAGGGAGGAGGAGGAGGAGGAGGAGGAGGAGGAGGAGGAGGAGGAGGAGGAGGAGGAGGAGGAGGAGGAGGAGGAGGAGGAGGAGGAGGAGGGAGGAGGAGGAGGGAGGAGGAGGAGGAGGAGGAGGAGGGAGGAGGAGGAGGAGGAGGAGGAGGGAGGAGGACGGAGGAGGAGAGGGAGAAGGAGGAGGAGGAGGGGGAGGGCGGAGGAGGAGGAGGAGGAGGAGGAGGAGGGAGGAGGAGGAGGGAGGGGAGGAGGAGGAGGAGGAGGAGGAGGCGGAGGAGGAGGAGGCGGAGGAGGAGGAGGAGGAGGGAGGAGGAGGAGGAGGAGGAGGAGGGAGGAGGAGGAGGAGGAGGAGGAGGAGGAGGAGGAGGAGGAGGAGGAGGAGGAGGAGGAGGAGGAGGAGGGAGGAGGAGGAGGAGGAGGAGAGGGAGAAGGAGGAAGAGCAGACTGAGGAGACTGAGGAGGAGGAGGAGGAGGAGGAGGAGGAGGAGGAGGAGGAGACTGAGGAGGAGGAGACTGAGGAGGGGGGGGAACGGCTACGGTGGAACCGGGTATGTCCCTCTACAGGAGGAGCGCTCAAGGGCGCCCTCGAGGGTGCGCAGTTATTCGCGCTGCGGGCTTCGCGGTTCGGCTCTGATTCCTCCTCATCCTCCTCTTCTCCCCTGGGAGGCGGCGCGAGAGCGCGAAGTTATTCGCGCTTCGTGCTCCGCGCAGCGCGAAGCGCGAAGTTGGGAGCCCTTGAATGTTCAAGAGTAGTAACAAATGGGTTTGTGGACGATTGTTCTATTACTGTCTATACTCCCCTGCAGGAGAATCTAGTTTTGAGCATGTTTGGCTTTCTTGCAGAATCCGCCTGTATGAAGACATGCCCGACCCAATGCTAAGGATTTGGGGTGGAACGATCGCGTACAATCTGGCGCCGGCGGCCCACTTGTTACACGCCATCCCTCCCTGGGGATAGCGTGCGCCGAAGAGGCCCTGGTAGGGGGATTTCGTGCACGGAAGGGTCCCTCGCGGGGGGGTCGCCTCACGAGGATAGCGTGTTTTTCGAATATCGATGTTGCACGCTATCTTTCCAACGCCAACCGTTTGGGGGGGGATATCATGGCGGGGACTCACAGGAGGAAAAGGCGCCGATACCGCTACCCTTGCCTCGTGTTCGCCTTTTTCCCGCCTCCTTGGAAGGCCCTCGTCGCCACGGCTGGATGCGCTTCGACATCCGGGTCAGGACGCACCCTGGGAGAGTTCTGGTAAGTTGCGGTATCCGTACCAATCGGTTCCTTTAGGGGCCATGGATTTCCCAGGTTTTATGGGTTTCTCTCTTTCCTCTCGTAGCACAAGTATTGGCATTATTCGTATGATTATTCATACTGGTATGCTCATGTATGATGTAACTCTTATTGTTTTTGTTATGTGTATGGTTGCTCCTCTACGCCTTGTCTAATTATTCAAATATTAAGTTGTGTTCGTATGCTTGTGTTGATTTATGCCTGCCTGCATGTGTGGATGAATGTATGCATGCCTACATGCATGTATTAATGCATGCGTGTATGTTTGCTTGTATGTAGGCATGCATGCATGTATGTCTGTGTGAATGCGTGCATGCATGCATGTACGTATGCATGGATGTGTGTTTGTTTGCATCCTTGTATTATCATTGCTTCTATTTGTTCGATGCGTTTCCTGGCCCCCCTCGCCCGCTCACTTGCGCATTGGGCCATGATTCAGAATAACAAGCACGCTCCAAGGTGTCCACGATTTTTCTATGTTTCCCGAATTTTCTTTTTGATACACCAGGGTCGCATAATCGAGGGCCGCTAGACACTCCGAAATTCTTGGGACGTATCCTGAACCAACGGTACCATGGCATCGTTCTCTCCCTGATGAAGGTCTAAGCCCCCTCTTCTGAACTCTCTCTCTCTCTCTCTCTCCAGCGCATCCTAGAGTAGCAGGGCAGCGTGGATGACGCAGGAGGAGGTTCGAGGATCGACGTTCGAGGATCAAGTTTTTCGCACGTGTGTTCGGACACGGCTGGCCTTTGTTTGTCCTTCCGCAGACCTCTGCGGCGACATCCATGGAGGATGTAGAGGAGGCGGGTAAGGGTGAGGAGGGCTTTGTGTTACAGATGCAGAGTCAGTGTTGGGACGTTATCCAGCGAAGAGTGGGGGGTACGGAGAGGGAGGATCATATCACTCGCGGGAGTGGCGGTCACGCAAGGCACCGCGAGCCGCGTACAAATTGAACGTGTTCGCGGCCGCGCCCGGGCGCAAGCCTATGGGCAGCTGTTCGTCAATGGAGACAAACATGGTGCAGACTGCGGCGGCGTCACCCTATTCCCAAACGGCAGCATGTGGTACAAGCCCAGCCTTGAACGTGATCAAACCACTGTAGTTGGTGGGTATCGTGCTCCTCCCAGCTGTCAATCTGCAAGGTATCGCCTGCGCTGCACGTCTGGCCGCTGACCTACCGATGGGCAGATGGCAGAAGGCGCGCAAGGACGTTCTTCTCGGAAGATAACGAGCTCGACGATCTGCCTACTCACCATCCTCTGCTGCGCAGCGCCGCGGAGGTCGGCCCGGCTGGTGGGAATTGTCGTGGTTTCTGGCGTGCGTTGCATCCGGCGTGCCGCATATTCCTCCTCGTTGTCCCCCTCCTTTCCTTCACGACCATTTCATGGCCCCCGCCTGGCGCGCTCGAGGAGACTTGGGGGAGGAGGAGGATGATGAGGAGGAGGAAGAGAAGGAGGAGGAGGAGGAGGAGCAGGAGGAGGAGGAGGAGGACGGGGAAGAGGAGGAGAGGGGACGGGAGAGGGGGGCAGCGGAGAACTGACGCCTCGAGTTTCCGTTCCTGCGGCCGGAGGAGGAGGAGGAGGAGGAGGAGGAGGAGGAGGAGGAGGAGGAGGAGGAGTTGGAGGAGTTGGAGGAGGAGGAGGAGGAGAGGAGGGAGGAGGAGGAGGAGGAGGGGAGGGGACGGGCGAGGGGGGCAGCGGCGACGCCTCGAGTCTCCGCTCCTGCGGCCGGAGGAGGAGGAGGAGGAGGAGGAGCAGGAGCAGGAGCAGGACAAGGAGGAGGAGGAGGGGGAGGAGGAGGAGGAGGAGGACGAGGAGGAGGAGGAGGAGGAGGAGGAGGAGGAGGAGAAGGAGGAGGAGGAGGAGAAGAACGAGGAAGATGAGGAGGAGGAAGATGAGGAGGAGGACGAGGAGGAGGAGGAGGAGGAGGAGGAGGAGGAGGAGGCCGCGACCGCCCCAGAGGTCGAGGCGCGCCGAAGGCCACATGCGCCGAGAACGCGGCCAAGATCGTTTAAAGTACATGTCTTTCAGTTGCACTCGGCGAGCCGCCGCCAGTGTAACGCTACCAAGTGCTTTGCAGGTGAGCAAGTCGGTCACCCAGCCTCGCTGTTCGAACCAGCCGGCCTCACTACCCAACCGAGGCGGGCCACTCACTAGCCCAACGCCACACCTTATCGCCGCAAGCCGTTGGTGGGGGGGGGGGGCATCGGGGGCGGTGGGTGCCGCAATCTCGTGGCCACTGCCGCACGAGGGCGCACACCTCCCCACGCTTGGGGAACCCCCGCCTGGCCCCTTCGGGAACAAAAAAAACCTTCGACCCATTTACGCGTCGACCACTGCCCTATTTTCACTGTACCCTTGGTCCTTGGAGCCCGCACAACCTGAATGTACTTGTACGGTACCATGTTTTAACTGTACCCTCCCTGGATCCTGTGCCCCTTTCGACCAGTAATTACCCTTATGGTCGCTCCTCCCTGGGAGCCCTTTGGTTGCCTCGGCGGGTGAGGATCCCCTTGGTGGGACCAGCGGTCGGGCGCGCGGGGTTTCCTCACGGCAGGGGGGAAGGCCCCTGCGCCACCCCAGTCGGGCGAGAGCGGCCACCACGCTGCCGTCGCAACGCCTCGCCACTGCGGCCAGCGCTTCCGTCTGCCACATGTGTCCCTCCTCCTCCCCCCTTCTTCGAGATACTTGATGCTCGTGAGCTCGTGAGCCTTCGCCTCCCAATTTCCCCCAAGGTGCAACGGGACACATATGCTCTTCCCCTGTGTGTGTGTGGGGGGGGGGCTGTCACGTCATCCCCGCTTGTATTGCAGATACCTTCGTTTGATCACGCACACGCACACACATTCCAGGGGCAATCGCTCCTGGGGGGGCATGGCTGCGTCTGGCAGACCCAACAGCCCACAAACTCACAGGAGGAGGAAGAAGAGGACGAAGACAGGAGGGAGGAGAGGGAGGATGAGAAGGTGGGAGGGCGCTGGGGAGGAGGACGAGGAGGAGGAAGAGGAGGAAGAGGAAGAGGAAGAGGAGGAGGAGGAGGACGAGGAGGAGAGGACCAGGACGAGGAGGAGGAGGAGGAGGAGGATGAGGAGGAGGAGGAGGAGGAGGAGGAGAAGTGAGGAGTGATGAGGAGGAGGGATAGAGGAGGAGGAGAGGAGGAGGGAGGACGACGACGACGAGGAGGAGGGGGAGGGGGTGAGGAGGAGGAGGGGGAGGAGGAGGAAGAGGAGGAGGAGGAGGAGGAGGATCAGGAGGAGAAGAGGAAGAAGAAGGAGGAGGAGGGGGAAGTGGTGGCAGCGCAGGCCGTGCCCACGGACGCCGAACCCTGGTGGGCGGACAGGCGCCGTGCCGCGGGGTTGCGGGCGGAGGAGACCCTGCATCATCTTGCAGTCGGCGGGTTTTGCTCGGCCTGCCGCGCGGGAGCGAAGAGGGCTAGGAACGAGTACGAGAACTATTCGGCAGCGTCAGTAATCACCACCCACCAAACCACCCCAACCCAACCCGAAGGTCTCAAATTGACCTCCATTTCCAGTGGGCGGGGGGTCGGGGAACATCGAGAAAACACATATGGAACCCGTACCCCCCCCAACCCGAAATTCGGGTCTTCGGGTTGGGTTGGGGTGGTCTGGTAGGTGTGCAAGTAATGCGGCCAGACTGTTGCGATGAGGAATTCAGTGGAGGGCGAGTCAGCTTTCGGGGGGGGGGGGGCCTTGTCGCCACGGTTGGGCGCAGCGGCGACAATTCATGCGTTTGGACCACAGGAGGGGTCCCCGGCGCGCTTTCGAGCTGTCGTTGTCTCAAGCCGCCCTGCTCCGAGGAGCAGCTCCGATTCGGAAGGGGCTCGCTGGCCCCTCGCGGTTAGGAGATCGAGCGCAGCGTGTCGCGGCTTCGGTGCAGGCTGTGCCGCCACACGCGGACCACTTCCCGGTTTCTAGGCGTCAACGGTCAACGTCCCGAGCCTTTCCCAGACTTCCACCCCGCGGGGCGGAGCGACACGCTAGCCGCCAGCAGGGCGTAGCGTGTCGCAGGGGCCGCCGCAGCGACACCCGAAGCAGAAGCTCATGACCGTATCCCCGCCGCGCGCCACCGCCTCCTCCAACCCTGCGCAGCTGCGCGTGGCGCAGGAGAGGCCCTCTCCTCGGGGGCAGCGCTAGGGGGGATAGGCTCAGGGTGGATCGCATCGACCCCCAATCGCCCATTGATCGCAGGTTGGGGCCCTGATGGCCTGCCGGCCCACGCCCTCCCAGAGAGTGCGGATTTGCTATCGGTGCCCTATCTCCGATACATCAGCGATGTATCGCCGATTCCAGGTCGATAGCCCCCCCCTGAGCTGGTCCCTACCTATCCTTCCCCCTTCATCTCCTTAGAGTTCAGATGCTGAGCCCCGCAGGAGCGCCACTTGCGGAGCTCCCTATGGGGCACGATCCGCGCGAAGGGTGTGCGGGAACCGTGCTGGGCGAGGCCATGTGAGTTTCTCCATCTGGCCTTCAGTTGGAGCGTCGTAGGGGATCGATCCGAGCAAGGGGTGTGCCGAAATGGGCCAGGCGACGCCATGCGAGTTCTTTCGCTGGGGCCACACTTGGAGCTCCCTAGAGGGGTGTGCCGACGTGGCCTTGGCCGCTCTTTTGAAGACAGCGGCGAGGCAGCGGAATGACGCAGGCAGGCGCCGCAGCAGTTCGAACCCACAATTCGCGAAGTCAGCATTCCGTTGCTCCGTGCGCTCGTGGCGCGGTCGAAGTGCGGTGATACAGGAGTGGCGCACTGCTTTGCGGAGGGCGCGCCACTCGTCGGAGCGCTGCCGTCGACGGGGAATGGCGCCCCTGCGCGTGCGGAGGGCGCTTGCCCGGACGTCGCCGCCCCGCCCTCGGGCGCGGCGGCGCGCGACCGAAAGAATTTGAAGACGCTGCGCGCAGCCGAGGGGGCGAGCGCGCTCCTTGAGAAGACGCGCGAGGACGCCAGTCCTGGGCGGACGTCGCGGCCGATTTCTTTTCCGGCGTCGAGGGCTGCAGCCGAGACTGATCGCGCGGGTCATCGGCGACGACGCGCGGTTGCTGCCGAGGCCCCCCGCGGCGCAGTGCAAGCCAGACGGGGGCGTCAAGATCAGGCCCGTCGATGACGGCGCTCGCGCCGGCATTGCAGGGGCGACCGCGCCCGGGGAGAAACTCGTCGTGGACGGGGTCGATCGCGTGCTTGCGGCGTGCCGCGCCTTCTTTGAGGCGCACGGCGTGGCGCCAGCCCTATGGAAGGCGGACGTTGGCGCCGCGTGCAGGCGAATCCCGCTCGCCCCAGGCCGCGCGTTCGCAGCGTGGGGCGCCTCCTTGGCGGACGGCCGCCTGTGGGTCTCGCGGCATGTCGCGCTCCCGTTCGGAGCGTCGGGGCCCGTCTATGGATGGGGCCGAGTCGCCGCCTTCCTCGGGCACGCGGCGCTTGCTGCGGATCCCCGCGGGCCGGCATGTCGACGATGACTTTGCCCCTGTCGCCGTGGAATCGGCAGCGCATTGCATGGATGTTTGCGCGCGGCTTGCGCGCGCCATTCTTGGGCCCGGCAGCGCTGCCAGCGGCAAGCTCGAGTGGGGCAGTGAACTTGTCGTGCTGGGGGTCCTTTTCCGACGCGGGCACCCATTGCGCCCCGTCGGCAGACGAGGTGCGCAAGTGGGCTGACGCGATCGCGCGCGCGCGCTCGAGTCGGGCAAACTTGAGCCGGGCGCGGCGTCGAAGTTGGCTGGGGCGCTATCCTGGGCTAGCCAGTCTCCGTTCAAGCAGTTGGACAGGATTTTTTTGCGACCGCTGTTCGCGCAGCAGCGTGGCTGCGAATATTGCCTCAACATTCCGCTGCGCATGGCGCGAAGCGTTGTAAGGGGGCTTTCTCGAAGCGGCTGAGTGGACAGCTCGCCCTCTGGACGCGGATCATGTGTTTGCCGGCGCACGAAGTTCTCCGCCGCGCGCGGCGGCCGTGCTGTTCGCGCATGAACGCGCGTGGTACACAGATTGGGCGCCGGACGCCGCGCCGTTGCGGCTGCTCGGGCAGCGCGGCGACAATCAGATTATGAGGTTGGAGTTGCTGGCCATCGCCGTGGCCACGTCGGCTTTCGGGCATCCTTCGTCGAACGCGGCGCTTGAAATTTGCTCGGACAACCGTGGGGCGGAGCAGGCTGTGGCGCGAGGCTCCGCGTGCCATTCTGACCGTGCCTGCCTTGTGCACGGTGCGTGGGCTCTGGCGGCCGAGCTCTCGGCGTCCGCGTGGGTCCATCGGGCGCCCTCGGCCGCGAATATCGCGGATCTGCCGTCCCGGGAAGATCGCGGCCCAGTGCGTCGTTTGACAGCGATTTATGTCGAACCGACGTTGGGCAGTCGATTCTACGCCCCTCAGCAGTGGGCCTCGCTCGCAAGGGCCCGCTGAGTGCTGCTGCCTGTGTCGGTTGGGTGGTTCGGCGGCCCGCGAAGCGTTTGCATTCCCGCGCAGGCCCGGCCGCGCGCGGCCGCGGAGAGACGCGCGGGGAGATGTCGGACGCGACGGTCTTCGCCCATTGGCTTTGTGCGTGCGGTTTGCGGCGTCAGCCGCTTGCGTTTTACGTCGGTCTTGTCGCGTGTTTCAATATAAGTCGCAGGAAGTGTTCCACTGGAAGCATCTGGCAGACGTCGATGCCGACTACAGTCGGCCTCAATTCTCACCGCGCCGCAGCGAAGTTGCGACGAGGCGGCGCGCCCGCGGGCCGCTAGACGCCGCGCGTGGTGGCCGCGCGCAGGGCCATCAATGAAGCAAACTTACAGAGGGGCATGCCAGCTCTCGAGGGTTTCTCCTTCCGTCGGCGCAGGCGTTGCAATGGGGGGGCAGAAGCAGCGCCGCCCGCGCGCCCCCTGGCCGCTGGAGCCCCGGCGGCGCATGTTGAGGGCCAGGATCGCCCGGGGCCGCGTCCCCCCCTGGCCCTCCGCCCGCTGGCTTCAGTGCAAGCGTCGCAGTGCGCCGGCCGCCTCCGCCGGGGCCGCCACCGGGCTGGCGGCCGAGGCCAGGCGGCGCGGCTGGGGCGGCGGCGCCGGAGCAACTGCGTGCAACGTTGTACCCTGGCGACGCACGCGGCGAACCTGCGGCAGGCTCGCGAGCGCGATGTGCGGTCGAGGCCGACGTCGACTATGCTGGATCGTGCGCAAACCAGTTGGCCGCGCCCAGTGCAGGGCCTCGGCGCGCCTCGACGGCGAAGCGGTAATGAGCGCGCCTGAAGGCCGGCGCTTCGCCACGAGGGCGCGCACGACGCGGCGTTTGGTAGTTCCCTCGTTTCCCATCAGCGCGGGGGGCCTCCAGATCGCCGGTGCGCTGTTCCGCGTGAGCGGTGCGTTTGCAAATTTCTGCGGGCACTGGCGCACGGCGTCCGAGCTGCTGTCGGCGTCGACGGCCGCCTTCGGCGATCGATCCGCGAAGCGCGCGCGATTGGGCATCGCGAAGAGGTGCCCGGCGCCCCCGAGAGTCAAGCGTTTCGCGCAGCACGCCTTCCTTTCCAGAGTCGTCGAAGCGAGCATCTCGGGCCCGGTGGCCGCGTCAGTCAGACGGGGCGCGGCAGTGCTCATGTGTTTCGGGTATGCGCTTCTGTGGTGCCTACCAAGTGAGGGCTTGCCCGCTTTCCTCGACCGATCGGCATTCAAAAGGCAGCACCGGGCGTTGGTGCGACGCTCAGAAGAGGCGCTCGGCGCTAGAATTCGGAACGACCTGTTACAATTTGGCGCAAGTGTTGGCGCCGCACTGAAGGGGGCAAAGGCACGTGCCCAGTGCGCGTCCTCGGCGCATTGTTAGAGAAAGCTGGCGCGAGCGCGTAAGCCTTCGCGAGCTCCTCCCCCGCTGGCGCCGTCGCCGCCATCCGGATTTCGGTCAATGCGGTGGGCGTAGCGTGCCCAGAGGAATTTGACACATGGGCGCTGCGCCGCGGGCATGCGCTCGACTTAGTTGAGCGCGGGGCCGGACTGGCCGAAATGCTTCGCGCGGGGGCTGGCGGAGCGCTGCCTTCATAGAATCACTGCCAGTTGAGTCGCTCGAGCGGGGCGCCGCTCTCGAGGCCGGACAAGTGCTCTTCCGACAGAGATGCGCGAAGAAAAGTGCCTGGGCTTCAAGCCAGGTTGAGCGCGCGCTCGCGCTCCGGCGGCGCGCGGTGCGTTGGGCCTGCTCCTGCGCGCGCGTGGCGCGCGCGGTTGGGCCCCCGCCGAGTGCCCATCGCTCCGTGACAGTGGGTGTTCGCACTGGGCGCTCGGCTAGGCCAGCGGCGCAGGCTGCGCCCGAGCCGCCGTCGGCTCGGGGCACCGCTGCGCGCGGCCACGGTCGAGCGCCGCGCCCATCGTCGCGGCGCGACTCGCCGAGCCGTCTGGCGTACGTGCCAAGACTTTGCGGTGGGCGATCGTCGTGCAACGTTGGTCGCGGGCGCGAGACTGCGGGGCGGGCGCCCCCCACCCTGGCCCCCGCGCGTGGGCGACAGGGAAGGGGGGGCGCCGCGAAGCGCGCAGCGGCGCGGGGCTACGCGAGCCCAAGCGATGGGCGCGGGGCGTCGCTCAATCCGCCCTGCTTGCATGGGCGAGCGCGCGAGGGGGCGCGCGCGCCGCCCGGGGTTGGGAGGGGCGCCGCGCGCGATCGGCTTAGGGGTGTCCCGCCGCGTTCGGCGAGGGGGCACCTGCGGTGCGGCTTTTGCCCGCCCGCCGCTCCCCTGGTGGCCATTCGGCTCGGGGTGTTCGCATTGGGCGCTCGGCTGGGCCAGCGACGCAGGCTGCGCCCGAGCCGCCGTCGGTTCGGGGCACCGCTGCGCGCGGCCATGGTCGAGCGCCGCACCCATCGTCGCGGCGCGACTCGCCGAGCCGTCTGGCGCCCGCGCCAAGGTTTTGTGTTGGTGATTATGGCTCGTTGCTTCGCGGGAACGAGACGCGGTGGAAAATTGCGAATTATGCCGGGTCCGGAGGACGGGCGTGGGGAGCGCGCGGAGGATACCGTCGGGAACTTTTGAATAGAGTGGCGCTCCGCTGGCTCTGGCCCACCAAGTCCCGGCGCGACGCGCTATCCACTTCGCGGTTTCCAGGCGTCGACGTCCCGAACCGTCCCGAGCCTCCCGCCCCGCGGAGCGGGGCAACACGCTATCCGCTCGCAAGGGATAGCGTGTCGCCAGGGCCGCCGCCGCGACACTCTCAGATTAAGGTTCACGACCGTACATCGGGTCAGGCAGATGGGAGTGGGAAGCGCGAGGAGGATGCGGCAGGTTCGTGTCGCGCCGACAGGCGCCGACCCCGCCGCGGGCGTTCAACGGTGAACGTCGCCAGCGGCCCAGAATCGGTCGATGCCGAACGATCTGGCGTTTCGGAGACGGCCGATCGTTTCAGGTTGAACGAACCCCGCGGTGTCAAAAACCAGCGCCAGAGCCGGGACGACACGAGCCTGCCGTAGGGCCGCGAGCGAGGAGGACGCCCGCAAGCAGGGCGGGGAGGGGGAGGCGGAACGTTGACGGGGCAGGAAGACAGCCTTGCCTCCTGCGTTGCTGCTGGGGCTTTTTGTCGAAGGCAGGTGTTTCGGGGGCCTCCGTGGGCGTGTGTTAAGTCGGGTATGTCCCTTTACAGGAGGAAAGATCAAACAAAGTTTTAAAAAGTCTGGAAACGATTTTCGTCATTGTCAATCGTATTTATTGAGCATTTTGTCGCCACGGTTTTTGACTTTTGCTCCAATCCGCCTGTAGGAGGACATGCCCGACCTACGGCTGGTGCCTCGGGGGCCTCCCCGATGGGGGCGGTGCCTCATCGCATCGTGGGAGAAGAGGCGGCGTAAGCATGAACTTTCGGCGCTCTGCGCGGATTTCTTGGATCTGCGCTGGCCCCCCCTGGCGGCGCCGCCAGCGCCGCCCCTGGCGCGCGGAGCGCGCCAATGAAGGAGGTAATCCTCGCGGACCGGCGAAAGTTTAGGTTTATGTCATTATGTATTCCTCCGTTCTAGGCCTCCCAGGGGGGGGCCCGAGCCGATGAGGTCGGAGAAGCGCGCGGCATCGCTGATGCATCTGCGATGCGGCCCGATGTGGAGCCCGATTTTCTCCGCGCCAGCATCGCCGATGCACCGCCGATGCACCGCCGATGCACCGCCGACGTCGCCGACGCATCGCCGATGCATCGGCGATGCAGCGGCGATGCATTGGCGATGCGCGTGATCCTCCGACCCCATCTAATTGCTCGGACCCCATCTGTGCGGCCTGTAGTGGTGCCTCTGGACTCCGTGGGTCGTTTCTTAGCCGGTGGGCGTCAAGGCCACGAGGAGTCAACACCACTGGCGGATGCTGCCCCCCTGGGTTCCCAGGATCCTCCGCGGCCTTTGCCTGCCATGGTGGTTGGCATTCGGCCCCGCAGTCGACACGGATTCGACACGGATTCGACTCGCTCGACACGGATTCCACACGGACTCGACAAGGCCCCCCCGACGGTGCAGCATAATTTGTGGCCTCCAGCGCGCGCCCTCCTCGGGCCGCAGCGTAGGTCCCTGGAGTTAAGTCGGGCCTGTCCCTCTACAGGGGGGATATTCAAAAATAGTCGAAAAATAGTCTGGGGACTGTTTTTTATTATTTTTTGGCCATCTTGGAGCCCCAGAGGCCGAGGCAAGCAAACGAGCCTGGCGCCGTGGCACGATGGAACACAGGCGCCCGCCCCATGCAGCTCACACCTTCGTCGGGGCAGCGCTGCGTAGACGCCGGGCGCCCACTGCTGCTTGGGCCTCGCGTGTGAGCGGTGCTCGGCCCAGATTCGAGGCAAGTGCGAATCGGCTATCCACGCAAGCTTGCGCAGTGGGGAGCTCCTCAGGAAGAGCGGCGATTCCGTTGGAGAGCTTCTTCCGGCGCTCGAGCAAGTCCTTACGGTAGGTTCGTGTCAATGTCGACTGGCGGCGACCCTGTCGTCAGCGTTCAACGTTGAACTCCGCCAGCAACCCCGCATCGGTCGACGTTGAACGATCTGACGCTTTGGAAACGGCTCATTGTTCCAGGTTCAACGATCCCTGCGGTGTCAGGAACCAACGCCTGGCCCATCACGACGCGAACCACCTGCCGTGACCTCAGGAGGTCTTTAATCCTGCCGCCCCCCCAAAGCTCTCGGCTGGCAATAAACTCGCGAGTCCCCTGGTTCGCCTTGTCTTCCTCCTTTTCCTCCTCCTCCTCCTCCTCCTCCTCCTCCTCCTCCTCCTCCTCCTCTCCTCCCGAGGGACGTCCGCTCCTCCTCCCCTTCTCCTCATGCTCCGCGACGGCGGCGGCGGTGGGATGAACATTCGTCAAGAAGGGCTGGATGCTGGCAGCCCTCGGCTCGGCCCCGGATCCATCCGGATTCGCCCGTGACTTGGGGGGACCAAAAGACTTCTTGCGGCGATTCAGCTCCCCAGAGATCCGATGTCAGGATTTTTTCCATACGGGGTCTCCGGAAGTCTCGACCCGTTCCCCCGGACCGGCTATTCCTCCTGAGTCGTTTTTTGACGGTCCTGGGGCCCGGCGAGGGCCGCTAGAGGCCGAAAATCCAGAAGAACCTCCGTCTTGATTTTTTTCGATGCGTTGGAGGTCTGGGCTTGCCGCCGTGGTCCCGCGCGCGACGCGCGGGGGGCCGGGGCTCCCCGGCGCCCGCCGCGGCCCCGCCGCGGCTCCGCCAGGCCGGCCTCCAGCCCGGGGGCGTCGTCCTCCGCGGCCTCCGCGCCGTGCGGGGGGGACCTCGACGTTGAGCTGGACGCGCGCCTGCTGTGCCCCGAGACAGCGAGGCCGCCGAGGGCCCGTGCCGTTCCGCAGAGGGGGAGGAGCTGCCCCTAGCCCACAGCCTTGCCCTTTCCTCGTCTTCCCCGTTTGCTGCCCCTAGCCCTGCCCTCGCCTCGTCTTCCCCGTTTGTGTGGCCTCCTGGGAGGCCCTCGTCGCCACCGCCGGGTTCGCCTCGGAGTTCTGGTCAGAGCGCACCCTGGGGGAGGTCCGTGGAGCAGCGGCATCTGCACCCTGTTTTTCCCAACCATCCTGTGGTGTTGGGTCCTCGTTTTGAAGAGACGGTGCCCGCGTCCTCTCCTCTCCTCCTCTCCTCCTCTCCTCCTCCTCCCCCTCCTCCTCCCTCCTCCTCCCTCTCCTCCTCCTCCCTCCTCCTCCCTCTCCTCCCTCCTCCCCCTCCTCCTCCCTCCTCCTCCCTCTCCTCCCTCTCCTCCCCCCTCCCTCTCCTCCTCTCTCCTCCTCCTTCGTAGCCCCATAGGGAGCTCCACCGAAGGCCCCAGTGGGGGTGTCCACATGCGGTTCCCCCACCCAGGGCAGCGTTTCGTGGCCCCATAGGGAGCTCCACCGAAGGCCCCAGTGGGGGTGTCCACATGCGGTTCCCCCACCCAGCGTTTCGTGGCCCCATAGGGAGCTCCACCGAAGGCCCAGTGGGGGTGTCCGCATGCGGTTCCCCCACCCAGGGCAGCGTTTCGTAGCCCCATAGGGAGCTCCACCGAAGGCCCCAGTGGGGGTGTTCGCATGCGGTTCCCCCACCCAGGGCAGCGTTTCGTGGCCCCATAGGGAGCTCCACCGAAGGCCCCAGTGGGGGTGTTCGCATGCGGTTCCCCCACCCAGGGCAGCGTTTCGTGGCCCCATAGGGAGCTCCACCGAAGGCCCCAGTGGGGGTGTTCGCATGCGGTTCCCCCACCCAGGGCAGCGTTTCGTAGCCCCATAGGGAGCTCCACCGAAGGCCCCAGTGGGGGTGTCCACATGCGGTTCCCCCACCCAGGGCAGCGTTTCGTGGCCCCATAGGGAGCTCCACCGAAGGCCCCAGTGGGGGTGTTCGCATGCGGTTCCCCCACCCAGGGCAGCGTTTCGTGGCCCCATAGGGAGCTCCACCGAAGGCCCCAGTGGGGGTGTCGCATGCGGTTCCCCCACCCAGGGCAGCGTTTCGTAGCCCCATAGGGAGCTCCACCGAAGGCCCCAGTGGGGGTGTTCGCATGCGGTTCCCCCACCCAGGGCAGCGTTTCGTGGCCCCATAGGGAGCTCCACCGAAGGCCCCAGTGGGGGTGTTCGCATGCGGTTCCCCCACCCAGGGCAGCGTTTCGTAGCCCCATAGGGAGCTCCACCGAAGGCCCCAGTGGGGGTGTTCGCATGCGGTTCCCCCACCCAGGGCAGCGTTTCGTGCCCCATAGGGAGCTCCACCGAAGGCCCCAGTGGGGGTGTTCGCATGCGGTTCCCCCACCCAGGGCAGCGCTTCGTGGCCCCATAGGGAGCTCCACCGAAGGCCCCAGTGGGGGTGTTCGCATGCGGTTCCCCCACCCAGGGCAGCGTTTCGTGGCCCCATAGGGAGCTCCACCGAAGGCCCCAGTGGGGGTGTTCGCATGCGGTTCCCCCACCCAGGGCAGCGTTTCGTGGCCCCATAGGGAGCTCCACCGAAGGCCCCAGTGGGGGTGTCCACATGCGGTTCCCCCACCCAGGGCAGCGTTTCGTGGCCCCATAGGGAGCTCCACCGAAGGCCCCAGTGGGGGTGTCCACATGCGGTTCCCCCACCCAGGGCAGCGTTTCGTGGCCCCATATAGGGAGCTCCACCGAAGGCCCCAGTGGGGGTGTTTGCATGCGTCTCCCCTACCCAGGGCAGCGTTTCGTGGCCCCATATAGGGAGCTCCACCGAAGGCCCCAGTGGGGGTGTTCGCATGCGGTTCCCCCACCCAGGGCAGCGTTTCGTGGCCCCATAGGGAGCTCCACCGAAGGCCCCAGTGGGGGTGTTCGCATGCGGTTCCCCCACCCAGGGCAGCGCTTCGTGGCCCCATAGGGGGGCTCCACCGAAGGCCCCAGTGGTGTCTCGCATGCGGTTCCCCCACCCAGGGCAGCGTTTCGTGGCCCCATAGGGAGCTCCACCGAAGGCCCCAGTGGGGGTGTTCGCATGCGGTTCCCCCACCCAGGGCAGCGTTCGTGGCCCCATGGGGAGCTCCACCGAAAGCCCCCGTGGCGCAGTTCGCATGCGCTTCCCCCACCCAGGGCAGCGTTTCGTGGCACCATAGGGAGCTCCACCGAAGGCCCCAGTGGCGCAGTTCGCATGCGGTTCCCCCACCCAGGGCAGCGTTTCGTAGCCCCATAGGGAGCTCCACCGAAGGCCCGCCCCGGTGGCGCAGTCCGCATGCGGTTCCCCCTATCCAAGGCAGCGCTTCGTGGCCCCATATGGAGCCCCACCGAAAGCGGCACCCACAACGCGTTACCAACAATTGCTTATGGTTGGGTCTTTCGCCAGGATAATTCCCCCATGGCCTATGCCCATCCCCACCGGGCCATGGCAGCTCAGCCCCCCCCTCCCTCCCACTGCAGCTGGGGAGTGGCCCCTCGAAGCCAGAAGGGAGCAGCCTATAACCCCATCCAGGGGGGAGAACGGCCAGTGAGGCCCAGGCCACGCCAGTGAGGATCGGTGAAGCGATGCCCCGGGGAAGGGCTGAGAGGGGGGGGGGCTCGGTAGCAATTCATCGGAGCCTTGTGTATCCTTGTCAGTCCGTTTCTAGAGTGCATCGGCGTGCGCCAGCGTCTGGTAGTCGCCGAGCGGGAGAGAGAGAGAGAGAGAGAGCGCCGATTTAGCGCCGATTTAGCGTCGATGTTGCGTCGATTCGGGTGGACTAGCGTCGGCTGGCGTCCGCACAGCCAGGGAGGAGGAGGCCAACCACTAAAAGATAAACGTTTTATCCCAACGCGGGGGGGGGAAACGACAATATGTCTGCATACCTAGTTCCTCCCGGTCGCACCCCCTGACGTGTTGGTAGGGTAGGCCGGGCGTTTCCATTGAGCTTTCTTCACCACTCATGATCCTAAAGCTAGAAATTTGAAACACTTTCATGGATGGAGGACGGCCAGTTTTCAAAATGTGGCCCTCGCCTTAGCGTCGCGCGCATGAAACAATGAAACAATTAAAGGATGGAGGGTGGCCCGTGCTGAAAATATAGCTCTCGTCTTAGCGCCCCGCACATTCTTGTGAACATTTTGAAAAGTTACAGATGGAGGGCGGCCTGTTTTTCAAATGTGGCTCCAGCGCAGCGCACGTTTTCGAATTTCAGAGAAGTTTCAAGTATGGAGGGCGTGGGGCTCTTGCCTTAGCGGCCCGTTTTTCAAATGGCTCTCGCCGCAGGGTTCGCGGAGGTAAAGCGCAGGCACAGTACTGATTGTCAGGAAGCAACTGTGACTATGATTCGCGGTGTTGAAGTCCCATTGATGGTGTCCTGGCACGGTTTAGGATTGTCAGGACGCAACAGCTATGTCGATTCGTGTCGTTGGCGTCCCATGAAGTGTGTTTCAGCACGTCTGATGACTCTCAGACGGATGTTTTCCGACGGGGCATTTCCCGCAATGAAGACCAGATGTTGTAGAGACATGTGAAGACGGAGTTTGAATGGAGGGCGCATTGCAACATCATTGATGCGTCTTGGGTTTACGCTGGTCCTCCTCATCCTCCTCCTCCCTCTTCTCATCCTTCCCTTCCCTGGACGTCCTGGGCGCGCCCTATCCGTCGGCGCGTTTGTACTCAGGGGGCCTGTTTTCGGCCTCCTTGGGGCCTACACCCAGGCCGTTCCCAGTGCCAGTCTGGATTTCCCCAGCTTGGCTGGCCACCAGGTTTCAAAATCAATGGTTGATGCACGTGCTCGCTTACTTTTGATTCGCGGGGCGAAAGCGCACCTCTTCCGGTCGAAGCTAAGCGGGCCGCGCGAAGCTTGAATTGACAAAGAGGTGGGGACAGAAGGAGAGGCCTCACGGCAAGGCCAGGAGGAGGCCCGCTCTCGTTCTCGCTTACATACCCGAGAGCTTTTGTCATACAACGCCGTGTAGGTCCCTGACCCCGCGAGAGATTGTGGCACTGAAGAACTTTGCGTGCTCCTTACCGCTTTGTCATTCGTATTCTTGTTATTGCCATGAATACTTCTATTGTTACCATCATCGTCATCATTTTACTGACTCTTAATACTGCACCTACGATTTTCAGTCGTATTGTTTTTATGTGTATGGTTGCTCTTAGTCGTATGTTTACTATTCGGGCCGTTATCACTGTCTTTATTCCCTACCTAGGCTCTGCCTAGAAGGGTTCTTACTGTATAAGCTTAAAGGGCCGGGCAGTGGACCACGCCCCGGGCGGTTCCCCCAGCATCCGCCCCGCGGTTCCCCCAGCTTAGCTTAGTTCATCTTAGCTTAGCTTATCTCATCTTAGCTTAGCTTATTCATCTTAGCTCAGCTTAGCTTAGCTTAGCGCTGCTTATCTTATCTTAGCTTAGCTTAGCTTAGTATAGCTTAGCGTTACTTATCTCATCTTAGCTTATATCAGCATGGCTGATCACATCTTCGCTAGCTTATCTCATCTTAGCTCATCTCATGCTTAGCTCATCTTAGCTTAGCTTAGCGTTGCGTATCTCATCTTAG